GGGCTTGGGTTCTGTCTAATGGCTGCCCAGTCCACGGTCCACACACTGTTACACACAGTTCTATCAATTTTTTCTTCATGATCCAAAGGGTCGGTTTGTTATTTCTCTTTCTCGGATTCAATCATTTATAATCAAATGAATTCTTAATATTCATTTGATTATTAATTGAAATGTCAAAAAAAATGCTCAAAGTACCATAAGCTTGGCAATATTGTGACTTGACAATGTTCTTAGCTTAATTTGAACTTCAAAATTGAAACGGGTCAAATTTAAATTTTCTTTAGAACACTGTCTCGAACCCGATGGGATTATGATATAATCAAATATCCATTTTGATCTTTAATATCCATTTAATAATTACTTAAAATTTCAGAAGTGCTCAAAACGTAAGCTTTATATATTTTTTTTTATTAAATTTTTTGCATGCATGTCCCTTCTTAAAGAATCTATGGAGTACTAAATTTCAGATTAACCTGTAATTTTATTCGGATTATCCATATAATTATCTAAGTCGAGTTGATTATTTCCATGCGTTATAAATTCAATTGATTAATTTCATGATCTCATCTTAACACTAGCCTTCTTAATCAATAATGTACGAGGTTCTCGACCTAAATTAAATGATTCGAAACAAACGTAAACAAACAACAGCGTGGTTCCAAAAATTGCCTAATCCTAGTTTTATTAATTCCGTCATACTAATGCCAAACTAAATGATTAAGTGCTCATCCTTTCACTATGACCACAAGTCTCATTCTTCTAATTTGATTTGATAACTAGTGACAAAAAATGATTTGATAACTGTAAAGATCATGTGCATATACAATAAATTATATGCATATACAATAAATTACACTCACCAACCCATAATTATATAGGCGCACAGACCTCCTTTAAAGTTGGTTCAGTTAAAGATTTCTTATGTGTCATCAAAAGCTGAAATGCGATATCCTTTTGCATCATCAAAATTAAATTACCCCGTACAAGATTTTTTTAAAAAGAAAAACTAAAATAATATAAAACTTTTAAGGGCAAAACGGTAATATCACCTTCATAGGGAAATATTTGCAAAGATGTCAATATAATTCTTTATGTATGTATAATGTAAGTCTGTTTGAGAACCACAATTACTTTATACTTTTGTTTTTACTTGAAGTATACTATTCAAAAACAGTGTTTGATAATGTATATTTGTTTCAAGATTTTTGAAAGTAAAAATATGAAAATATACTAGTTTAAAAAATATAATTTTAAAGTTATTTATTTTTTATTATTATTTGTGTTGTTCATAGATAGATTGCTTTTGCCATTGTGTGAAAACAATTGAAATGATCAAATTGGTAGTTCTGATTTTGACTTTTTTCTGAAAGCGTTTTAATACTATTCAAATTGCACGTTACCAAATATGTTTTTTATTTTTGCTTCTCTATAATACAACACTATTAGAAGCAACAAGTAAATGGTTGTTAAACACTAAATAGACCAGGTATGTTTTATATATTTTTTTTTAACAAAAAAACTTAACTCATACACGTACACTTTTTACCTATGCCCAACTAGAACCCCTCACTACCTTCTTCTTTTTGAGAATGGATTAGATTATATCATATGGAATGGGTAAATTTTACCTATATAATTTTTTTAATTGGGATAATGTTGGTTAAATGATTATCAACCTAATTTTTTTTTCAATTGTCCTTTCTTATCCTTATCATTAGGGGTGGAATTAGGAAAAAGTCAAGTGCAAAACTTACAATATTAGTACTTGGAGAATGATTCTTTATTAGTAAAATAACACTTGAAGATTAATAGATAAGACTGACATTAAGTATGATATTAAGATAAGCCGGTGCCTAATACCTATTGCCTACCCATATAAAAGGTGTTTTTATTTGTTTTTAGCAATGAATATAAAATATATAAGGGACACTAGCAATTTGCATCCCCTACTATTATTATTATTATTTGTAGATTCAATACTTTATGAGCTTAGTTGCGTTCTAGTATCATATTTTATTTAGAGAAATAATTCATAGATTACAAGCCTTCTTATAGCGGATTGATTCAATAACTTGACCCATTTCCCCTATTTCGGGTTCCAAAAATATATTTATCTGTATGTTTTGTGCAAAGTTAATTTTCGCCACAAAATAACAAAGTTGTTAGGCATACGAGGTGCTCGTGATTGTTTTCCTTTTTTTCATGTATTTTTCTAACCCAAATGAAATGAAAAGAGGAGAGAATTTGTAAGGTTTTACAAATTTACAAGTTATTTCGTATTTGTTAAATTGACGATTCAACGTGTTTATTAATAATTGTCAAAAAATTTAAAATACAGATCTTTTGCATTTTGATTTTAGGGAGGAGAGATCGTACAATTGGGTTTGTGCGTTTTAGTGACTTGTTAGTTTTTTGCATTTTGATTTTATGGAAGAGAGATTATATCATTGGGCTCATGCCCTCTAATAACTTGTTGCAGCATATATATATATATATATATATATATATATTTTTGAGGAGAGATTATACATGTATGTGCCCGTATGCGTGGACATTTTGGTATATTAAGCCATCCTCGGGTTTAGAAGGTGGTTGAATTCACCTGACCCGGCAAGAAAACCAGGAACAAAATGGTCCATTTGGTTATCTCAAATGATTAGCACTCTCTCGAAGGTCCATGATAACTTGCATTTGAACAAAATGGTCCTTATGGTTCACTTTTACTATTGCACTTCACGATTGAGAGTGATGACATCTAGGAATTCACACAAGTTGAGCTAATGTTAACGTCCTTGAAAGAGATGGAAGTGATATGCTCAATCAAGCGAAAGAGTTTTATCAAATTGGGGAGCTTACACACCACAATAATTCAAGTATTTCATTTTGATTTTGAAATTTTGTTTTATGTTGCTCGACTTTGGGTTACAAATAATTCTTTTTAATATTTTGATTTATAATGGTTAAACCTCGCCGATTTTTAATGCTTGAACCATGATATGAAATAAGTCGATAAAACAGGAATTAAATTTCTAAAATAATAAAACAAGGGGTAAATGCACGAATTGAACACTCTACCAATTAGGTTATTGAGTAACGTCCTTCTTATCATAAACATAGCAGCATAAAATTTGAAATATTCTTCTAAATGCAACATTAAATTTTGATAATTATTTATTTATTTTTTCAAATTCAAATAAACATTTAATGAATGCCGTCTAGCCATTAAAGGAAAGAGTTTGGTAGTTAGCGGGTAAGAAAAAAAATTAATGTTTTTAAAAGAACCACCACTATTATTGTCACTTTGAGAGAACATTTGGGTAGTGTTGGAAGAAAATGAGAGGATAAAGGGGGAGCATATCAAACGAAGAAAGAAAAAGACGAGGAACGAGGACCAGTAGGGTTTGTCAAGCTTTTTGACAGTGCTTTCCAAAAAAAATTACCTTTTTTGAACACTATTTTTAACTACCAGAAGAAAAAGAAAAAGAAAGGACGTAAAAAGATAGTTGTGATTAGGGATGGAAACGGGGCGGGGATTCCATTCCCCATCCCCATCCCCATCCCCGCGCCATTTTTCATTCCCCATCTCTACTTCCATCCTTGTTTAAAATTTTGCCAGAATTTTCAAACACGCCCCGCCCCGCCCCCACCACCTTATCCCCATCCCTGCCCCAAGCCCCGGCCTCGGTCTCGGCCTCATAATTTTTTTTTATTAAAAAAAACATATTTTTTTTCTTATTTTTATATATATAATAAATCTAATTTAGTAATAAATTATTATATGTAAGGGTATATTAGTAACTTCATTTTTAATCGAGGCGGTGCGGGTTTACCCCATCCTGGCCCCCGGCCCCGGCGGGAATTCACAAATTAGCCCCATTCCCATCCCCATCTAGTTAAAAGGATCCCCATTCTCGCTATAAACGGGGCGGGGCGAGGCCCCGACGGGAATGAGAAATTTACCATCCTTAGTTGTGATTAATATTAGAATGTTCTTTCTCCTTCATTTTCTCTCTTTTAGACTCTAGTTTATCAATGTTTAGTTTCCTTTCTGGAGTTATCCAAACTCATTTTGTTTATTAAAAAAAAAAAAAATTTATTTCGTTTAATTTTCATTATTTCACAATACTATCCTTTTATTTTTCTTTTTCCACTTCCTTTTATAAAAAAAAAATGTTAAGTTTAAGTTTAATCTCATAATGTTTGGTACAAATTAAAAAAAAAAAAAAACAAACGATCTTTAAGAAGCATCAACGCTTGTGAGTAAGTGTGCTTGAGCGGATGTGAGACATGAATAAAGTTACGAGTGAATGTTTTTATATCGCTTAATTTAAAAAAATGAATATGTAATCGATGTCACATCACCTAATGGTGAAAAATGGGCAAAATATTAGATTTACAGATATTTAAATTATTTAATTGACTTAATTTATACCTAATATTATTAAAAATAAAATAAAATATAATGATAAAATATATATATATATTTTTCTGAAGTAAAATGACCAAAAGATATACATTAATTTTCTCCGCGTTGTCGTATTGTTACACATCACGCACTCTAAAATCGCGTAGTAGTAATGATGCCTGAGAAAATAAAGGGCGGCTGAGCATTTAAGAGAGAAAAAGAGTCTGAACATCAATCCAATACCACCTCACACTACACAACAATAAATATATATATACACACACATATACACATTTATATTAATAAAAAAAAAAAATTATATAAAATAAAGAAAGGTGGTGGTAGTGGTGGTTTTTTAGTATTGGGGTGGTGAAGGGATCTTGTTAACGGTGGAAGGAGTGGGGAATCAGTCTTTGTTTTAAGGGAGAAGAAGCATTGACTTGGCACCAAAGCCAAGAAGATAGAGAGAGAAAGACATAGTTTGAGGAGAGAGAGCGTGGGGTTTGGAGAAAGGGGACATGCCCAAGTCCGTCCCAACACTTCATCACTCTACCAAATTCCAAAGGTCTCTCCCTATCTGCTTCTTTTTCTCGCCTTTTCTTATTCTTTTTTCTGGGTCTGATAAATATTACCATTTCTCTGAATGGTCAGTTAATATTTTTGCTTTTGTGTTTGTGATTTTTGGAATGTAATCGGTATTGTTTTTTAATCTGGTACTGGTGAGATGGGTTTGGAGTTTCGGGTAACAGTGACTTCTTATCTTTTTTGTTTTAATTTTTAATTTTTTTAATTTTTGGGTCTGCATGTTTTAAACTACTGAGATCAACCCAGTTCCTTCCTGATCTGGGTGTTACTTTCTCTAATTAGTATGATTTTTATGTTTATTTTTGGCTGTAATGCTCTATCCTTTTTGTTTTTTTTTTGGTAAAAAAATTGTTCTAAGTACATATTTGATTCTTTTTAACCCACAGTCTCAGAGTAATATGCCTGTTTTTGTTTTATGTACTCCTTCCCCTTATTCTCGGGGTTGGGATTTGTACTTATTCAGTGACAGTTGAAACTGCTAGTATTTGATTTTCCTCTTATTTATTTTAAAAAGATAGATTGTGGGCATGTTATTTTCATATGCATTTTTTTTGGGTTCATCTTCATCACTGAAGATCCGCCCCTCTTCTTTAATCATTGATATTTTAGTTTCTGCAAGAATTTACCAGTCTGTGTATAGATACAGGTAAAATGTGGTTTTCCTGATCAGTAATTTGAAATTCTTTTTATTGGTTTTGAATTTTAATAGCATAATAAGAGAAGTTATTGTCTGTCTCATATCATGTCATGTGGGAAATGCTAGCTATTAATTTTTCGAATATTTGGTATAATATTTATGGGAAGATACACATCTATGATCTACCCGTCAAATAATTTGTTGTGTTTTGATGATATTGTGAAATTCATAAGAATGGAGAGATAATGAGTTAAACAGTTACATTATTAGTTTGGGAATTGACGTTAGCTTTTGTAAGTGCAACTATGATCTTTGTTCTATGTACTATTGTATTGTTGTAATGTTACTAAACCATACTTAATTCTGAGAATCAAATTAGTTTCTATACTAGAGTCGCATCCTTCCTCTAAATGGTGGTGCCTTGATTTTAATGCCTTTTGTTTTACCTGAGTTTTAATCACATTGTTGCAGCAAACACTTAATTTATTGTTGGAGTGCTCGAGAGCAAGCTAAAAACAAGTGAAAATCTCTTTCTTATGCATATTGAAGATCAAGAGTGTTCAACAACATAATTAAAAGATCATTTGGAAGTCATTGATTGCACAGAAAAATGCAGGGCCTGTCTAAGAAAGATTCTAATCTCAGCTCTGCCCGTTCAAAGGCCCCACGTGATGCAGGTTGCCTGTCTTGGTGGACTTCTAATGGATCACAAATTCAAAATCCATCTCTATCGGAAAAGTTAAGCTTGAAGATGGCAACTCCACACCAACATTGTCAAAATTCCAAGCAACTGGGCTTCCTATTACAAGACCAGGATTCCTCCTCAACTCAATCAACTGGTCAATCTTACCCGGAAGTGGTTAGTGTGGGAGACAGCGGTCAATATGGACAAAGCATGATGTCAGTGCAATCAGGTAGTCATTCTATACTCTAATATTAAATAGCAGATTTGATTAATTAAAGTTAGAGAGTTGGGATTCGAGGTTGATTTGGTAGGATGAATTTCTACTGCCAGTACTTAGATTTCTCAGAGGATGGTTCAGTTTGGAGTTTGCTTTGTTACCACCATAGAAAATTGTACCTTAATTAACTGCCAAATATCATGTCTGTATTTGCATTATTGTGGACAACTTTCATTTTAACAGATCAAAGGATTGAATGACTTCAATTCTTCAAAACTGAAATATTGCATCCAGTGACAAAACCAGAAATTTGCTTCAGTGGAGGCGACCCTAGAGTTTGGACAATAGTAGATAAAAGTTGTAAACCAAAATAATGAAAAAAAAATAATGAATTTAAGAAGGGCTGGATTACGATATATGAAAAATATGTATACAAGACTACAGTAAGAAAAATAGAGTGGGGACATCTAAGGTTTTTGATGATTTTATGAAAGGGTGGTTTTAAAATTATGAAAAGATATGTATACAAAATTAAAAATATATATATATTTTTTGAGTGGAGTCGGCTGCCCTCATTGGGCCCTTAGTGGCTCTGCCCCTGATTGCATCTGTTCTTGAGACTGAAGAGTGTAGAAAGTTGAACCACCATTTCATGGCTATTCTAGAACGTTGACCATTTTGAATGTTACCGATAGGCGACAGCCCTAAAATGGATGTGAATAACCTTGCAATGATGGCAACGGACCTGTTTACACTGGTTAGCATGGAACCGGGTGTCTTAGGCTCTCAGTATAAAAAATCCTGCCGAGTGCAATGACTTTTGAGTGGGGGTTGGGTTTATTGTACCATATGGGATGTGGAATGATATGTCTTGTAACCCAGATTGGGAGTTTTAACAACAAGAAGTAATTAAGTTTACCTCAGTGTTGTATTTTACCTAATACATAAATTAAGTTTCTTTTAAAATGAATCCTTGACTGTTAGCAACAGGATACTAAAGCCACCTTTTGGCTAAATCTTTTATATGCTGATGTAAAAACTTAAAACGCCACTTTTTTGTGTTCTATTTTGTCAAAGACTAGAAGATGAAACAGGCGTATTTCACGGCTCGCAAATGACCCATGGATCGGTGAAAAACTAATTGTTGAAATGTGGCTGTGTTGTCTGTTCCTTTCCTTAACCAAATCTGTCAGTTAAAGGAAGGAGTCTTAGCGTCTAATATTAAAAATGATAAAATTTTCAAACATCTTGTTAATGCATTCTAAAGCAATTTTGGAGCTGCTCCAGTGTTATGGGCGACTTTTGAGCTGCACTCCCAATTTGTAGCATGAACAATCATGCCATGAATTTATTGGTAGGCTGGCTTAGTATTTGCTTTACCCTTTCTTCTGCTTGTCCAGGGAATAATGGAACTATTGGGAATCCTGAATTCAGCCTTATTAAACCTGCTTTATCAATGGGCACTCAGGATTATGTTTTGCCTTCTTCACAAGCTGATCACAGACAACCTTTTGTAAGTTGATTATAACTATTACTGTGAGTTGATTTGTGCCTTCCATTTGAAATAGCATTAAGCGAGTTATTATGTCCTGTTCCAGGCTCGTTTTCCAATTTCTTATCCTGATCCATTCTATGGTGGGTTCCTATCTGCTTATGGTTCACAGTCTGTGGTGAGTGCATATGGTGCATAATCCTGATTATTATTATTACTTTTGACACCTGTTGCCAATTTATATCTTAATATTATTTTGAATTTAAGAAGAAACAAAATTGTTTGAATTCCTGCTCGCTCAATTTATGGTAATTAATTCAGCGTCTTGGAAAAATTGTTATAGCCATAAGTCATTTGAATGAATTTGATCTCCATTTTAATAATTCTCCAAAAGTTTTGAAAATTATGATTCCTTTCATTCATCTGAAACAAGACAAATTAACACCCTAGCTAGGAGATGTAATTCAAGCTGTGGCTGTTAGTTAAAACAGTTAGACGTTATTTATTTATTTAGATATGCATTTATTTATTGATGAAATCCTAAGACAATTCTTTATTTTTAATTTTTTTTCTTTCATTATATGGTGACATCTTTTGGTGAGTCGTGCAGCTTGCATCTTGGGCCATGGTATTGCATGTTCTGTTAGACATGACTAAATATTCTGGTAAACAATAGGAAATATCTTTAATCAGTACTCTGTTCTGATATTATTTTAGCTTCAAACATTGTCTGTTTCAGAAATGTTACTTTTTGCGTGCATTTCTTCTTTTCCTTCTTCTTTATCTTTTTTTTTTTTTCCCCTTTCTCTTGACCTTATTCTTCTTTTCCAATGTTAAATAGGAACAAAAAACAAAGGAAAAACCACAAATAGGCTATTTTGTTTGGGAATCATAGCAATAAACTGTATGTAAGAAATATACTTTAGATTTGTTCATTTAGTGGATCTGATCAACATGGGGCACGAGATGCAATATTTGCAAAGGCATTGCGACATTATGCAAGTCATCCATGCTGACTGATTTAATAAATTAGAACAGGTACATTGAGATCATGCACTGTGTTCGTTAATCACTGGCCTCTATATTGGTTTATATCAACTTCAATTACTGTGTATATGTCCATAAATGCGTTGTTAGATTTCCGCTGACAAAGAGGTCAAGCTGGTAATTTCTTAGGTTTTACTCATCTGGATAGTTTGTGAAAAAACGACAAATTGTGTTGATGCGGTTGAATGAGATGTGCTTATCACAATTGGGATCATTTGTAAATTTGACGTAATTGAGTATTGCTGGTATTGAGGAATGCTTCTCGTGTATCCTTCCTGAAAGGGTGCAAAAAAAGGATGTATTTTCCTTGATTTCGATTTTTGAGAATGTTTTATATTAGCAGAATCTCATTTGTGCTGTAGACGTCGTAGTAGCGCGATCATAATGTCATTTTCAAGGATTTAGTTTCCTTTAAGGGCTTGACCACATGTCCTTTCATACCCATATCTCAATTTTATTTTATTTTATTTTTCTCCAATAATTTTTTATCACGAGTATTCTCTTAGTTCTGATGTCCCTGGTATTCAAATTAAAGGCACAGACTTCTCCATACATCCTTCTTGCATTCACTCAAAGTGATATTGTACCAAAAATGCTCATATTAGTTGTTTCTGCTTCTATGCAATGGGCATAGTTTAATGCAAAAATCTTATATTTTCCAACCGTCCATTCATTCTTCTTTTTTCCTGTAATATTATTTTCCAATGGCCCTTCCAATCTTTGCTCTAAAAATTGATGGAAAAGTTGTAAGTTTTATTTTATTATTGTGATTTAGTGGTAGGAATTTTAGGGTGCCCAAGCTAAAAGGAGTATTCACTCATGGGGAGCATATTTTATGGTGAGATAATTCCACAATGTTAATATTTTTGTGCCTTACCACCAAAAGTTTAGCTTTAATGCTCCGTTTGTATGAGGATGGAAAAAATGGATGGAAGGGAGAAGGGGAGAGGGATGGATGAGGAATCCCTAGGAAAGGGAAGGTGTCTTCTTCACTTTTTGTTTGGTTGAGTAGAAAGGATAGATGAGGCGTCACCGTTTATTTGTTTAGTTGGAAGGAAGTGAAGAAGAGATTTTATATTAATTTTTACCGGTATACCCTCATTATATAAACTGTTACATAAGGCATACATATTATATATATATATATATACGCCGTTGTATTTTAATTTTTTTTAATTTTGCTTTTGTTCTTTTTACCTACCAATGTAGTCACATATAAAATGTATCTAGAGTGAAATTTAAGGGTTTTAGTAAAAGAAGACAATTAAAGAAAGTTGAAAAAGTTACTTTGATTTTTTTTTTATTTCCCTGGTTAGGAAGTTACTTTGAATTTTTTTAAAATGAGAATCATATAAGAAGTTTAGGCGTATAAACACTTTTTTCTGTATGATCAATGAGTGTAAGGTAAAAAATGTATTAAGGAAAATGAAACCGGGATGGATTGTAGGTACAGATGGCTTCTTATTGAGGTTTGGAAGTGTTTAGGGGATGATGGCATATCTTGGTTAACAAAATTATTTAATAAGATAATAATGACTAAGAGAATGTCTGATGATTGACATAAAAGTATTTTAATACCTATATATAAAAATAAATGAGAAATATAAGATCTACTGATTATCCTCCTATTAAATTAATGAGTCATACTATGAAAGATATGAAGAGAAGAAGATGGATCTTCATATGATTTTTATTAATTTAGAGAAAGTCTATGATAGGGTAATAAAAATTTAATATGGATGGTTTTAGAAAAGAAGACATCAGAGGAGGGTGGTGCTCTCTTGAGGTGTGTGGGCCTAGGGGTGTGGGGGTTTGGAAGTTTATTCGACAAGGCTGGGCTAATTTCTCCAATCACCTTCGGTTTCGTCTCAGGGATGGCAGGCGGATTAGTTTTTGGGAGGATGTCTGGTGTGGAGACCTCCTTCTTGCTCTCGCTTTCCCTCGTCTATTCAGGATTGCTTCGGATAGGCAGGCCAGGGTGATCAACTGTTATCATCTTGATAGTGGGAGATTGGTTTGGGATGTTCGATTCAGGCGTTTGTTTCAGGACTGGGAAGTTGACGATGCCATCTGTCTTCTGGAGGTGTTGTATCGTCAGGGTGTTATGTTCGGAGATTCTGATGTTTGGATTTGGGCTCCCAATGCTTAGGGTCGCTTTGATGTTCGGTCCTTCTTTAGGTGTCTCACTCAAGAGCCTGAAGGTCCTTTCCCGTGGAAGGCCATTTGGCGTTCTAAGGCTCCTCTTAAGGTGGCTTTCTTTGCTTGGACCTCTGTTTTGGGAAAGATTTTGACTCAGGATAATTTGAGAAGAAGGAATCAGGTGGTGTTCAATCGGTGTTACATGTGTCTTTGGGATGAAGAGACAGTAGTGGATCATCTTCTTTTGCATTGTCCTTTGGCCAAGGAATGTTGGGATTTGATGCTTGGTCTGTTTGGTTTTCTTTGGGTCATGCCTGGATCTTCTAGAGGACTGATTGAGGCTTGGAAAGACTGTTCTGTGGGGGCTCACATTCGGGAGGCTTGGAGGGCTACGCCTCTTTGTATTTAGTGGTGCATTTGGTTCGAGAGGAACATGAGATACTTTGAGGGAAAAGAGTTACCTATTTCTGTTCTTAAATTCTCCATTGTTTCCACTCTTTTTTGTTGGGTTTCGGGAAGAGATTATAGATTTATTGAGGACATTGTTGTTTTTTTGGCCTCTTTGAAGGCTTAGTGGTTTTTGTCTTTTGTTGTTCCTTTGGGATGCGCTTCCCTTTTGAGCGCTTTTTATACAATTCTTACTTATCAAAAAAAAGAAAAGAAGACATTAGAGAGACTTATTGACATAACAAAGGACATGTAAGGTGGATTTGTGACTGTAGTTAAAACGACTACGGGAAACTGAATAGGCCTACATCAAGGGGTCAGCATTAACCCATATCTTTTTGCCTTAGTTATGGATGAACAGTCAATGGACATTCATGATGAGGTTTTGTGGTGTATGTTATCTGTTGATGATATTGTTTTAAATTGATAAAATTAAAGGAATTAGTGCTTAATTGGAGTTTTAGAGGAAAAGTTTAGAACTGAAAGAGTTTAAGATAAGTAGGAATAAAAATGCATATATAGTGTGTAACTTAAGTAAATCTAGAAATACAATAATAAGCAATAAAAATTGAGGATCAAGAGGTACAAAAAGTGAACATTTCTGTTATTTAGGTTCAACTATTCATAATGAAGGTAAAATAAAAAATGAATTTAATTCTAAAATGAAGGCACGATGGGGAGGAGTGCTTCTAGTATATTGCGTGATCGGCATGTGCTGTTAAGAATGAAAGGTAAATTCTATAAAACAGTAATTAGACCAACTGTTCTTAATGAGAGAATGTTGAGTAGTTAAGAAACAACATTTGCATGAAGTGAGTGACAGAAATACATTAGATGAATGTGCAGCAAGACAAGACATTATATAATAAGAAATGAACACATCCGTAAGATGGTTGAAGTAGGACCAATTAGAGATAAATGATAGAATATTGATTAAGATGGTTAAGACATGTGCAAAGAAGGCAAATAAATGAGCCAGTTAGGAAGAGTGACATGATTCACATTGAGAATAATGCTGAGGAAAGGAAAAGATTAAAGTTAACGTGGGTAGATTATTAAGCAATAATAGGAAAACGTGATTTAATTGTGGCTATGGCCTTAGATAGATTGGAATGGAGAAATAAATTTTACTTAACTGTGACCCAAGCAGTTGAAAAAAAGGCTTTATTGAGTTGAGTTTTATTTTAGTTTGTTCTGTTCTGGCTTTTGGGGTTGGGGAGAGGTTATTCTATTATAAAGACCCAGTTTAGAAATCCCGGACTATAACTTTGTGCGTGTTTTCTTGTTTTAATAATAATATATATTTTTGTTTTTTGGGGGGGCAGGCATGGTGGGAGGGGATGGAAGGGTTGGTCAGTTACAAAATTGAGCCATTTTTGCATATATCAAGGCCTATGCTTTAGATAATTCTATTCAACTAGTAGCATCTTCGTTAGCATTCATGTATAATCCGTTTTTTAAGTGAACATGCAACAAATAGTAAGCTGCCCTTGGAGATTCTTCAATGTTGATAGAGATCAGTGTAGTAGTATGTTACTATATAATTTTTTTTAATTCTTTTTTACTTTGCATCTCCTTTGCTCTTATTCCTCTATGCTTTTCAAATCCTAATGATTCTTCTTACTTATCAAAAAATAAACCCTAATGATTGTTCTGTAGTAGGAAAGCTCCTCCTTTTATTTATTATTATCCTCCTCATCATTAGCTTTATGAAGTCCAATGTTTAAGTCATAGATGCAAAATGATATGATTCTCAATTTCTCTTTGGCATTTTTTGGTAGGGAAAAGAACTTGAAGTGGTTGCTAGATTTTTTCATAAATGCAATCTGTGGTTTTAGCCTGTGGGCTTCACAATCCAGTGGTTTTCTGATTTAGTTGTATGAATTTATCTATGACTTGCACGTCTATATAAAGTATTATAAACCTCATCAATCATGGTCCTTGATTACCTAATGAGATACCGTTGAATGTCACCAGATTCATCATCCCTCAATGATGGGTGTGGCACCTGCTCGAATACCGCTCCCTCTTGTGGAAGCACATGAGGGACTCTTGTATGTCAATGCAAAACAGTACCATGCAATTCTTCGGCGAAGACAATACCGCGCCAAGCTTGAGGCTCAAAACAAACTCTCAAAGAGTCGAAAGGTATGTCCTTTCTAAGTCCCGTTTCCCCTTTCACCTTATCATGTTGGAGTGGGATGTTGTGGCTATTTCACCAAAAAACATCGTTCTCTAATTAATTTTGTGTTGGAAATTTGTTCAGCCTTACCTCCATGAGTCTCGGCATCTTCATGCGTTGAAGAGGGCTAGAGGATCTGGTGGACGCTTTCTTAACACAAAGAAGCTCCAGGAATCCAAGCCAGCTGCCATGACTAATGGACAAGACATCTCAGGTGCAGGTCAAGTTCGTTTGACAACGAACATGTCAGAATCTGAAGTTCGTCAGCCAGAAAACCGCAAAGAAGGTGCTTCCACCACCTCTTGCTCTGACATAACGACTGCCTCCTACAGTGACAACATCTTCAGGCAGCAGGAATTCAGGTTCTCCGCCTACCCTTCTCGCATTGGCGGGGATGTGCAAGGTGGTGGTGGTGGAAATATGCCTGGTCAGAATCAGCGATATATCTCAGTCCACCAGTGAGAGATGAGGTCAACAGCAATTGATCCAGCAGTCCGTGTTTGGTGTTCAACCGAGAATACCGATGTTGGTGAAAGAGGGAAGTCATCCTTGGCTCTGTTAATTTACTTTCTAGTATTTGCATTGCATATTGGCTTAGCTCGTCAATATACAATATATAGAGGTTCAGTAGGTTCTGTTTTACTCTGCTCTGCATTTGATAAAACAAGCGTGATTTAAGAGGTTATTATGATGAGTGGATGAGAAGGTCAACATAAATTCTCTATAATTTGTAAAACCTAGTGTTGCTATCTATGTATGGTTTATTTAGCTTTTACTTTGGCAATGGGCTGTTAACTTTGTCTATGAAGTTTTATTCTGTCATGTTGGCAGCCCAACTAAGGTTTGTTGATAAAAAGCTGTTTATCAATTTTGCTTCTGCTGGATACTAACCTAATCTTTATTACATTATTTGGCCAATATTTTCTCTTCACCATCAAACTCATATTCTCTCCTTATAGAAACTCTCATCTACAAATGACTCCTAATTCATATATCTTTTTAGTGTCCAAGCTTTTATCATTTGAGAAAAGGTGAGGGATTGGTGAAGAAATTACAATCTATGTAAAATTGTGGGAGGGATTATGGTATGCCATGACCGAATTGAGAGGGAGGTTCGTTGTATAAAATATACGAGGGTGTGCCGCTATATGGGTTATGTAGCATGTGGTGGTATAACCGAGATTATCTGATCTTCCAAAAATCGTGAGCATCCGCAGGAAAGTGTGCAAAAACAGATAATATTTACACGGTGCGATTGGGTTGTGGCAGATAATATAATAGACAATTGCATGGATTGAATCTCAAGAGAAAGTGATTGTGATGTTCCATCAATATCTACATATATTCGCGTACAAGACGTGACTAATTCTGACTTTAGAGTATGCATACGATGAGAGAAGCCTATGGGATAGGACCTTAAAATGTAATTAAGGTTCATACCAAATTTCCAAATTTGATGAAGTTTATTATGTTCAAATTTGAAAACTATCACCAATTTGGCTTTAGGAACAAAGTAAATATATGAAATTTGAATAGCATCTGTATTTAAATCTGAAGAAGTGATTATGTTCAAACTCGAAAATGTTTTATTATTTAGTTACTAGTTCATATGGTGTGATTTGAGGTTGCGAAAATAGTTATTAATTCATATGGTATGATTTGAGGTTGCGAAAATAGTTATTAATTCATATGGTATGATTTGAGGTTGAGTGTTAAAATATTATCAAGAGCAATATTGTGGTTCCGTTTGAGTTTTTGAACAAAAAATTTAAAAAATTTATGAAAAAAATGTCCAATCCCCAAGTGAAAGAACTCCTTGACAGTTTTATGGAAAGAGGCAAGTTCCGGATAAATTTATCTCGTTGGAGAATAGAAAATGACCATGCCCATGTTGTTCTCTCATGGTTCGACCCGAAAATTAACAAGTCTCGTTATCACTGACTAGCCCATTACCCCACGGCTCACGTTAGCAAATTAGGGTCCATATCTACCTGTACGCATCAATCTGGTTTTCGGACTCATCACCATTCTCTCAAATATAGTTAACCGGTCTATTACGAATAGATTCAAGTCCGCCCCATCCTCTTCCCCCCCTCTATCTCTCTCCCTCCTCCTGTGGCCTGTACGTGCTTTTATTCTCTCTCTGAAGAGTCTCAGTCCCAACCTTCAATTCTCAACAGAATCGTCTAAAAGGACCTCACAATTTATCTTATTGTCTGCTATTCTTCGACATTTTCTAATCCTCTATAAACATTTCACTCTCTTATTTTGACTTTATATATACTCTGAAGCAATACAATGGACACAGGCTCACAGTACAGTCCTCGCACAGTCGAAGACATCTTTAGGGATTTCAAATGTCGTCGAGCCGGCATGATCAAAGCTCTCACTATAGGTTCTTTTTTAGGCTTCTGAATGTTTAGGTTTTTATCAACTGCTTTTTTATTTTTATTTTCATTTTTACTAAATTTCGGAGTGTTTTGATGTTGCAGATGTTGAAGAATTTTACCAGCAGTGTGATCCTGGTTAGTGTTTTCTCTTGAAGATTTTAACACGTCTAATTATATGTATATCTTTTAGAAAATTTCAACGTCTGCATGCAGTTACTAGTGGTAGCTGAGAGCTGTTTTTGTTTTGTTTTGTTTTATTTGTGTTTTCCTTTTTTTTTTTTTTTTCATTCGTCAGTTCGGTTCTGAAGCTGCGATGTGTTTGTGTGTGTGTGTGTGTGAAGCTTGATTTTGTGTTTTTGTTGATTTACTGACCTCCAGTTCTGTAAATTTTGAATTTAGGATAGATCATTTTTTCTTCTTTTGTCTCCCTCTTGGGATGGTTCTTTTTGCATTGCCATTTATGATTCTGTTTTGTTTTGTGTGTGGGTAGCTATCACTTATTATGCAATCAGGAAGAGATAAAATATTGTGTATTGGTTTATTTGAATGGATGTGCACCAGTCCATTTGATAGGGATATACAACATACAAATGTTTTGGGCTTATGGGTGATAGACATTTGAAGGTTATGACCAGTTAGGTAACTGGAGTAGTTACCATTGATCTGAATTGTTTTAGGTTCCTTTTTAGGATTTTGTATGCTGAAATAGGCTGTGTAACTGTTGTTTGCTTAGCGGAAAAAGAGCCTGTGTAGATTGGGACCAAAATAGTTCTGCCATTAGTGCCTCTTGCATGCCTTTAATTTCTTTCCATGGTGAACTCAAGATGAGCCCCCTTAAGAATTATTTTATATGTACTGACTATGTCTTCTCATTCTTTTCTTTTTAACTCATCAATCTTATCTTATTGATGTTATTTTGTTTGATTTATCACAAGACGTGCATTTGATTATTAATCCATTGATTCGCACTATATTTCAAGCATAAATTTGCTAATCAACAATAATTGTTGCTTCTATGCTATTCTATTAAGGAAAGTGCGAATCTGGCTTAGAATATTCTTTCCGAAGCTTCCATGTTTAATAATCATTTTGGATAAGAGGACATGAATATGATACATTTATTATTTGAATAATGTCACATGAATGATTTGTGCTTCCTTTGTACATTTTTTATTATTATTATTTTTTGGGTGAAGCAGGGTAACAGGCTGAAGACATGGATCAAGTTAGGTGTATTAAAGATATAAAGAGAGGTTGATGAGAGACATGGATCCAGTTAGGTGTATTAAGGATATAGATAAAACAATACTAATTAAAGATAAAGATATATTAGAAAGATGAAAAAATTACTTTCAATAATTACTAGATAAGGAATATACTAGGGAAGAAGTCGTAAGTAATGAACCCATTTGCATGGTAAACAAAATTCATAACAAGAAAGTAGAGGACACACTTAAGAAAATGGGAATAGTTTCAATAATTACTAGATGAGGAATATACTAGGGAAGAAGTCGTAAGTAATGAACCTTACATAGGCATGGTAAATGAAATCCATAATAAGAACGTAGAGGACACACTTAAGAAAATGGAAAATAATAAGGCCGTATGACCGGATAACATACATATAGAGGCTTGGAGAATTTTAGGAGAGATAGGCATTGAGTGATCAATAAAGTTGTTTAACAAAATTTTAAGAGAATAAAGGATGCCAAGTGGGTGGAGGAAAAGCACAATAGTACCAATCTATAAGAATAAAGGTGATATACAAAATTGAGGAAATTATAAAGGAATTAAATTAATGAGTCACGCAATGAAATTATGGAAAAATAATAGAGAAGACTAAGGAAAGAAACATCAATATTCGACAACCAATTTGGATTTAGGCCGCGTAGATCCACTATGGAGGCCATATACTTGATAAGACAACTAATAGGAGAGTATAAGAGCAAACAAAAGGACTTGCATATGGTTATCATAAATTCAGAGAAGGCATATGATAGAACGCCATGGGACGTAATTTGGTGGGATATACGAACAAAACTATATTGACTTATAAATCTTATTCAAGACATGTATAGTGGGATATTGACTAGAGTTAACACTATATGCGGGGAAACTAGTGACTTTCCTATAAAGGTGGGACTACACCAAAGATCGGTGTTGAGTCCATACCTATTTGCGATAATATTAGATGAAATAAAGAAAGATATTCAAGAAAATATCCCATGGTTACTAATAAATACCTCTAAGGAAGCCTTAGCAACAAAATTAGAACCATGGAGAAAAGCATTAGAGTCAAGGGGCCTAAGAATTAGTAAAACTAAAACGGAATATTTGGAATGTGCATTTGATATAATAGAAAATGATGACAATATTTATATCACACTTCAAGACCAAATAATTACTCAATAGAACTATTTCTATTACCTAGGATCAATACTACAAAAAGATGGGGAGATAGATGATGATGAAGTAAGTTGGATTGCAGTCGGGTGGACAAAATGAAGGCTAGCTAGTGGTATCCTTTGTGACAAATGAATACCAAATAAAATAAAGGAAAATTCTATAGAATGCTTATTAGGATGACAATGTTGTATGGAGCGGAGTGTTGGGCGTTGAGAAAGACACAAATACAACGCATCCATGTAGCGAAAATTAGGATGCTAAGTTGCACGATAGGAATCACTAGACGAGATAAGATAAATAACGAACGTGTGAGGGGAACATCAGGTCTAGCGCCTATAAATGACAAAATTAGGAAAAATAGACTTGCGTGACATGGTCATATGCAATGCAGGCCCGATGATGCACCTATAAAAAGAGGAAGAATAGACTGTAAGTGACAAGGAGGCTGGCCAAAACTCATGTGGGATGAAGTAATTAAAAATTACTTGAAAAATCTAAATTTAATAGAGGACATGGTGTGTAATAGGAAAGAATGGGAAATGAGAATTCATGTGGCCGACCCCATCTCTATGTGATCAAGAGAAGTATGTTAATGAGGGTACTGGTCTGTACGTCAAACTGTAATGACAACTTTGTTTGATTCAGAATCACAACTTGTTTTTTGTGGAATGCTGGATACTCATAATATGGAATTATTAGTAGTTTGTTGAAGGACAAAGCATAGTCTTCTTTTAACCATGGTTGGAGCTGCCTATCTTATGAAGTTGATTAATAGATGGCTCGAAACAATTTTATTTATGCAACTTAGCTCTTCGATTTTTTTCGATGGGGATGGGTATGGGGATGGAGGGAGGGGATGGAAGATTCTTGACACGAAATGCCAACACGACTCAAACCCTGAGTACATGGAATGAAGTTAGGGGGGTTTTGGTTTGCCGTAAATCATTTTCATGACATAATTGGGTTAATGCTAACATTCAAAACAGAAAGGTCATGTTTGGGATTCCTGGCATGAGCTGAATAACCTATGGTCCTACACTGACCTGTTGATTATTTCTTTTTCCATGATAAATTTATGACCCAAGGCTACGTAAAGCTGTATTAATAGGGCAAAAATTGGAGTCTGTAATTTTATTTATTTTAGAGTGTCTAGTTAGTTAAGTTGGTTATGTTACCTTGTCCAAGGGCAGATTAAGAATTTCACAATTTTGCAAAAACAAAAAGGTAATTGCAACCTGAAATGGGACACTCACTGATTAGGGTTTATGCATATAGCGATCCAGGTTTTATGGTTTAGAAAGGAAACAAATCAGAATCCTAATACAAAAAGAACAACAGACTTTAAGGTATCCATTGAAGCTGGCTGCCTTGGTGTCAATCGATTGACTTGGCTCAATCAATCTAACAGTTTGGTTCTTGAATTTCCTTTTTGAATTGAAACACTTAAAAACCTTACTGTTTTCTGACTTTAATTTCTATACAAAGACACTAAAAGCTCAAAAAACCTAAATATGATAGAATAGAGCATAATAGAGTATTCAAGCATTCATTTCATCTTGTTTTGTGCATCCTTGTAATCCTCTGATTGCAAGAACTTTGTTTTTCTGCATCCATAATCATACATCGAGCATGGTGAGTGGATCATTCAGTTGTTGAACTCTCTGTTCCTGTGGTTAAAGGTCTTCAACAAAAACCCTAGACACAGGTTTTGGTAACTAGTGAGGAAACGGAAATCCATGGAGAAATAGGTTGCATAAGGAATGGATTTGTCTACAGATCCATAGTTGTAGGATTTGGGTTGATTTTGCGTGAGTCTGAGACAGGAGGGACTAAGGAATTCTTGGAATAAAGTGGGGTAACTTAGTGGTAACCTTTTTCTCACTTTGTGTGTTTTGATCAGCCTAGCTAGGTTTTGTGGTATTTCTTGTTTGATTTTTTTTTTTTCAAGTAAAAATTGTTGTGCTCTAGTGTGCGATTGTGTTACTTTTACTGTTTCAGATTCTCACGTGCATGGTATTTGCTATGGATGAATTGAATTATATGCCTGATAGTTACTTTGATTTGTAAATCGCTGTCAGTTTAATTATAATTAAAAATCTATTGAAGTTAAGAGTTAAATTTGATACCTATTCATGGTTCACCCCCCTTCTGGGTCTAGATCACGGCCTTGCACTGCAGATATCAGTCCAACAGTCTTCTCAGGGACACATGGGAGTGGATGAAAACCTGTACCTTATCTTATTCTCATTCATAAAGTTTTGAACATAGAGACAAGAACAGCGGCTTCTGTTTTTCCTTCCTCTTCTCATCTTCATTTGAAGTTGCTATATTTCACAAGTTTGTACCTATCTGATTTGTGGAGTTTAATATTTAATCACTGTACTCCAACATTATCAACCTTTTATTTTATTGCTTTCTCATTGGATTTATATTTTGGATCAGAACCGTACCTTTGATTTTAATTTGGGGAGACTTCTCTCTCTTATTCATATATATCTATATATATATATATATATATATATATATTTTATGTGATGACTGATGTTGTGGCCTGAATTTGGTTTCCGGGTTGTGTTGCGACCCATTTTTTACCCGTCGACCCTGTGATGGAGCTTTGTGTGGGCATATTTATAATATTTGACCCGTTTTTGCTTGCGGGTCGTGACTCTATTGTAGCCTGATATATAAGGGTGTTTAGGATTCGGAGTGGGATATTGAGAGACACTGAAAATCGCAGATAAGAGGTGAGAGCTAGGGTTTGGGGTTGAAACTTGTAATCTCCTATTTTCCGCATAGTGAAAACTTTCGCCGGATCTTCACTTTGGTCGTAGGCTTTTGCCCAACCACACTAAAACACTTTGCGTTCTATTGTTTGTGGTGTGCTTACTTTTCTGTTGTGTTTCTTGGGTTTGCTGCGTTTGTCGTAACAATTTGTATTTGTATATCTGGGAATCTATTGTCTTGGGCATATGATCAATGGGTTTTGTTATTTTCTTTGTCATTGTTTTGAAACTTGACTCATCCGCCTGATAAATGTGTGGTAGTTTTGAATCTTGACGTCAATTTGTTGTTTCTTTCTTAAAACTTGTGCAAAAATAACTTGGGTATGGAAACCTTTTCATGCTTCGCTTGTTACTATGTCAGGAAATCTGCAGTTAGATAGGTAACATTTGGCTTGGGTTCATGTAAATACAAACATGACAGAACCCCTTTATTAAACTGGTCATGTTTTGTCACCCATTTTATAATTAGGTGGTGTTCATTTTGAAGAGTTTTACACCGTTATTAATTGGGTTATGTTCGGGTTGGCCAACATCGTCTAGTACATATGTTTTGGCAGGACAAAATGTGACATGATTGTCTATCTTACTTGAAAATTGAAAGGCTTGAGAAACTCATTTTAAACAAGAGTCTTTCCTTCTTCTTTTTTCCTTTTTTATTATTATTAGTTTTTTTTAATTCATTATTTTCCATTGTTCAATTCCCCTTTTTCTTTGGTTTTACTTTGTCATTCACATCAGTGAGGATCAACATGGTAAGCTTAACCGATTGACTTCAGTTAGAGCACACAACCTTTTTTGTTCTTTGCTAGTGTGTCTTTTTAATGTGATAGAACTTACTCTTCTCATATCACAGCCTCTTGGCAATGCCTCTTTTTTTTTAGTCGTCGTCGTTTCTAAGTTCCAATAAAACTGGACTATCAAATAAAAACGTGCTGTGCACTGTTCAGTGTTCACATGTCTTTGAGACGTGTTTCATTGTCGTTGTTCCTGATACTACCATTCCTTTTTTTTTTTTTATAAATATTTTAGACTATTCTTCCCACATGTGGTCCTTCCATGCAATAGTTTAGGAGTACATATTAGTTTGGTATCTGGGAGTAAGAGAATATTGAGGATCCGCTTTTGTTAAAGGGCTCAGGTACATGTGTTTGGTACAGATATGTGTCCAAGCGTCGGATTATTGAATCCCAAAATACATTGATTGACACATGAACACTACTAAATATTCATATTATATAATTTTTTAAATTTATTTTCTAAACTAAAATAATGATTTTATGTTACATAGATGTCCGCATGTTAGCTTGCTTTGGTGCTTGCACCAAAACATTATTTTCTTCGCATAGGTTTCAACTTTCAAACACATTTATTTATAATTTAGAGATTTCTTAAGACAACTTGTTTATTTTTTACTTGCACATATATTCATATACCACAAAGTATCATGTTGGTGGGTGGCTAATATATTGGCAACTGTGGTATGACTTGTGATTTTATTGGCTTGTATGGTGCAAGTATCAGTATGTTTTGGCTGTTGTGCTTCTAAACTGGTTTGGTTTGACCATCACTACTGAGAACTTTCTTATTTTAAGAGGAAACTGTTTTTAAGGCATTGTTTTCTTTATTCCACAACAAAGTCAGAAACTTCCTTTTTAAATTTTTTTATCATAGTTGTACAATTTTTATGTAACTACTTTAGAATTATTTCGTAATATTATTTTTATGTTGTTTTTTTTTAGCAATCAATCAAATTTATGTCTCAAGAGCAGTAATAAGCTTTATAATCAATATTGAAGACGGATATTGATGCTTGCAAACAGTAAAACGAAGATGAAAAATGCTGTATCATAGATTGTAATAAAAAAAATCTACTAAAAGAAACAAAAAGGGGAAAAAAAAAAAATAGAAGAGCACTTTTAAGTGCGCCGAAATCTCGCCTCTTGACATGTAACAAGGAAAGAGCTAAAAAAAAAGAAGGAAAAAATTAGGTTATCACTTAACCTATACTCTTTAACTTCTAAAATAATAATAATAATAAAAATTGGATTTACGAAGACTTTTCAAAATTTAAACTTGAATCCTGTATTATTACATTTATGGTTTAATTTTTGCAGTTGTTGATTGCTCTTTTTGTGGCGACTAGAGATTTTCTTAATTTTTATTTTTTAATTCATAGTGATTAATTTGCTTTGTATTGTATTTGAATTATTGGAATATATTCATGTTTCGATGTACAGAGAAGGAGAATTTGTGCTTGTATGGACTTCCCAATGAGCAATGGGAGGTCAATTTACCTGCAGAAGAAGTGCCTCCAGAACTACCAGAGCCTGCATTGGGCATTAACTTTGCTAGAGATGGGATGCAAGAAAAGGATTGGTTATCTTTAGTTGCTGTCCACAGTGATGCATGGTTGCTTTCTGTTGCCTTCTATTTTGGTGCTAGATTTGGATTTGATAAAGCTGACAGGTACATCTTCTAGTTGTTTGCTCTTTCTCAATGTCAATCTTACACAATCTGGAGGGGTAGAAAAGAGAGGATATGGGAAATTGTTAATGTATTCAGTAGATGAATAACTTAAAATCAGTACTCTCAAGGTCATATTGTTCTAGTGATTTTCTAGGAACTCGTTGATCTTAAATTTCAGATCTCTCTTTTTTTATGGGGAGTTTCTTTGTCGTTCAATACTTCACAGCACATAAAAAGGGGACAAATTGGTGGTTGGTAGAGTTAGATCATGAATCCTTGTAGCAACAGAACGCTAGTGCTTGAACATATTATTTCCTTTTTTGAATTCTGGCAGCCCTTAATTGTTATGGTGCCTTCATAATTTGTACTTAGGCCATATGCATGTTGTATCAAATAAGATCAGGATACTTCAGATATTAGACTAGTCCATTTTACATAATTCATGGTCATATAAACAAGAGAACTTTGCTGTGGTTTTTTCTACATTTCTTTTGTTTTCAATATTATGATACAAAAGATTCCGTCCCTCTATTGATACTTAAAGGTTAGCACCATTTTAAAATTTTAAATGGTTAAAAAATAAACCGACACATATTTTATTTTATCCAAGTTTTGAATGCTTTTTATAAAGGTGAAAACTTTGTAACAAGGCATGGAAGTTTGACATTTATAACTGTTGTTTTCCTTGTTTCTTCATGTTTTATATATTGCGTTATGGCCCATTTGGCGTCTTAAGTAATTTTACTAGTCAAAAAGGAGGGAAAAAAAATGTGCTGCATGAGAGAAGCCGCAAATGCGTATATCTCTTAGATGGGACCTGGTTGTAGTGGTGTTATATACTGGAAAAACCAGTTGTGTCCTCATAAATAGTTAGAAAATCAGTAATGAAACTGCCTTTAGATTTTTGTGTTACTTTTGCTGCCATGTAATGCATCTGGTGTTCCAGCTTATTTAGTTTATAATTAGGTTAATTTAGTGAGATGCTATAGTTTGAACCATTTGTAATCATTTGTGGTGCAGGAAGCGGCTTTTTAGTATGATGAATGAGCTCCCTACAATATTTGAAGTTGTGAGTGGCACTGCAAAGAAACAACAAAAGGAGAAATCTGTAGTCTCAAATCATAGTAGCAACAAATCTAAGTCAAACTCTAAACCGGTAAAAAGACACTTGCACAATAGTTCAATTTTGGTTAAGTAGTTTTAATTATCTGGATAGCGACTAATATGCTGGTGCCAAATTTAGGGGAAGCACCTTCATTTGCTCTTTCTTATTTTTGTCACTAATCGGTGACAACGAATCTCTCCTGAGTTTTATTTATACATTTCAGTTGGATCTTAGACATCAGCACGCCTATAGTTGGCATAACTCAACTTAGATTTGCTGTTTGTTTTGGTTATGACTTGTGAGAATAGATGGGAAGTAACTCCTACCTCTAGAGTTACATCCTGTACGAGGGCATTTCCAATTAGGCTTCATTCCTGATATTAGTCTCATGTTCTTGTGTCTTTGTGTGCTCTTGGGATTCATTGGCTTGTATTTTCATGCATATCCATTAAGGGGAAGTTCATATTTGGACTTAAGAGAGCTGTGCTCATTAATTTCTACAAATATGACATCTGCTAATCCTTGAACAACGCTTACTGTCAGTTTTCATTGGTTTTTATTTTTTGATCGATAGAATCAGCGGGGATCCGAATCTCTGGGAAAATACTCAAAAATGCAGCCAAAAGATGAAGAGGAGGGCTTGGACGAGGAAGATGAGGATGAGCACGGGGAGACCTTGTGTGGAGCATGTGGAGACAACTATGCATCGGATGAATTCTGGATTTGTTGTGACGTGTGTGAGAAGTGGTTCCATGGCAAGTGTGTGAAGATCACCCCAGCTAGGGCCGAGCACATCAAGCAATACAAGTGCCCATCTTGCAGCAACAAAAGAGTTCGCCCCTGACACAAGTTGCAATATATGGTTTTTCACCTTTTGTAATTCTTGGTGGGACACTGCTAACTGCCTTGTCAGTCAGGTTCCTCCTTTTGTTTCTGGGTGCTATATTAAGCACAACTTGTGAATGGCTACTTCTGGTTTAGGGGATCTTACTTTTCAGTACAGCACTATCTGTTTGTAGAATGGTCAATTCGTACCCTGTTTTGTTTGAACAATTAGTCATGATGTCTTGTGAATTAACACTAGGAATTTTAATCTCTGATGGTTGTGGCTCCTGGCTGGCTTTGCTTTTTCCTCTTTTTCTTTCTTTTGAATCTCCTATGATTCGATATTTTTACTACAATATGATTTATATGTAGGTTTTATTTATTTTTAATGTTTTTATGCCTTGGAGTATTTTATTCTTGTTTCTGCAATTTTTGGTGCAATTAATTAATTTAACTAGTGTGTGTATATTGTAGGTGGCATCTTAAAAAGCAGGTATGATGTAATATATTATGGTTTCTGAATACGCAAAACCATCCAAGATTAAGTCAAAGAAAATAAATTGACTTTGTCCTGCACAAGTTTTAGGTTCCTATACCTGTAATAGCTAATTGTTGTTGCCAAACACTCCCTGTGGGAATCCAATTATAATCTATTCCTGTTACAAAAAATGTGAGGACACTTTTTGACATTATTTCACAGAGTGGTTGCTAAACTTGCTAGTATGCTTAAACAAGCATTCTCAGTCTTAGCTTATATTACTTTTGTTCCAAATGGAAAATGATAAAACACTTTGGAGGAGTGAAAATTTGTCCTTATTCATTGTTAATTAAGAGTCTTTGTTGAACTTGAATGATTGGAGTGCCAAAAAAATAAAAAATAAAATAAAAAAACGAATCAAAAAGTATAGCAGCACTCTTTTCCAATTCTCTGTTTTCTGTTCATGTTATTTAATTATGACTTGACTTATATCATCTGCCCATGATTGCTTTGCACTAGGACAAGGCACTGGTCTTTTGCCCAATTACTTTGGAAATGATCACAACTTATTATTTGGTTGGAATTTGACAAATTTATTGCATTTCTCTTATCTTTATCTCAGCTTTTGATGTTAAACATTAGGATTAGGTACATAATTTGAGTTCTCTATTTTTAACCAAATTCACCATTTTCTAAAAAGAGATGTCAAATCAAGTAAATAATTGCATCTAACAACCATGGATTAGGAGAAGCATTATCATAGTGATAATTAACTGTAAAGCAACATCACACTCCCAACTTAAAACTATTGACCATTCACTATTCTATCACATGCAATATAGTAGAATCAGTCCACCTCTCTCTCTCTCTCTCCCTCTCTCTTTCTCTCCAACATTTTGTATTATTGAAGACAGCTAGATTCCAAGTATTATATATATATATATATATATATATATATATATATCATTTACAAACTTGCAATGCAATCTGGCAAAAGAATAAACCCATTGATTCTAAAAACGCATGCATACAATGTACACAACAATTCCATATATTACAAATCTGTATCATCAATTCTTTTTTGAAATACAATACTTACTGGACTCCAAAAGCAACTTAAAAAAACACAATCAGAGCCCCCAAACCATTAATCTTCATCATCAACTCTCTCTGTATAATCTATCTGTAAGCAAACTCTTGTACATGTTAGAACAACCCAAATCAGCACACCCCTGGTAAGGCCAATACCCAAAAAAAAAAAAAAAAAAAAAAAAAAAAAAGCAATAAATTAACTTCAAATCTGACTTGGGCCTGTCTCTTGAGTGGCTTCTGGGCCTAAGTTGGACAGTCCTACCCCCTGCATTTTCTTGATAGAATTGTTCTTCTCAAGCCTAAGCCCAGCCCTGAACCTGGCAATGAAGCTATCAGCTTTGGTGTTCACATCTGGGCTCGGACAGAACAACGGCGACATCACATCTCCGGCGATCATCCCGCCCGTTATCTCACTTGATTCAGCTGATGTCGATGTCTTGCTCGGTGGAGATTCGACGTCTTCCAGATCCGGAGACCCACTGCGCGAGCTATGGTTGCTCAGTACCCTAACATAATCACCTTGCACCACAAATTTCCAGGCCGGCATTTTGAACGGCGGTGGAGGCGGCGGTATCGGAATCAAAGGCGACTCATTGCCAATCAAAGGGGTCTTAGATCCACTGTTTGAATGCTCATCTATGCTGTTGAAATTACTTATCTGTACCGGTAAAAATGGTTTGTGGGTAGTGACTGGTGGAATTTGGCTTGTATTTCTGGATGCACGCGCCGCCATAGATGGAGGTGGAGGCGGAGATGGTGGTTGTTGTTCAACAAAAAGAAATCTCTTATTCTTGCCCTTTTTGGATGAAAACAGATTAGGAAGAACAGACGGTGGTGGCGGCGGCGGCGGCGGCGGCGGAGGTGGTGGTGGTGGTTGTTGTTGTTGTTGTGAATAAAGGGGATCTTGAGGCTGAAGTAGGCTTTCGAAATTATCAACACTTCTCTGTCTTTGCTTCTTCTTCTTCTTCCTTTTATCGTAGAATGAGGTTAAGAAATCTTTAGTTGAATTTGCACCACTTCTTTTTCTGTTACTTTTGCCGACATTTTGCTCGGAATAATACTGGGATGATGGAATCGGGGGCGGAGGCGGTGGTGAAGTCAGCACTACTGGTGTTGCTGGGGACTTTTTGGGTTCTAAATCATTGTTCATCACTTGTGTGTTTGTTTTCTGTTTATGTGCAGCACTTTGATGGTGATAATTTCGCCTTGGCTTTTGTTTGACAGCTGGCATTGGCACTGTTGGTGGTGGTGATGGTGGTGGTGATGATTGCGGCGGCGGAGGTGGTGGAGATGATTGCGGTGGTGGTGATTGCCGTATTGGATCATATGGAACTTCCTTGGTAGGAGTACTACTCACCAATAAATCAACATCTTGTGGCTGATGCCGTCGACGACGAAGGTGATCGGAGTCGGAAATCCGATAACCGTCGACATGGGTATCGTCAAACCATCGCCGGCGATCATCCCTGATCACCCACGGTGACTCTTCACGTAGATCTGGGTATGAGCTGCTTGCCCTCCTCAACCCACCACCCATGCTATCTGAATTGTACACCATCCGATCCGAATACTCATACCATTGGTGTGGTGTTGATGGGGTTGATTTCTGGACTTGATCTCTGACATTAGAGACCGTCTGATCTTCATCAAAACTGTTTTCATCATGAATCTTGTTTCTGCTGAGAAATCCAAAGACTATGGCAAAGAGAACTAGTATTATATTGAGTGAGTCCCAGCTTTTTTTCACCGAGTTTGGTCTATAAACATGAGCAGTAATGGATTGGATTGAAGGAACTATGAAAAACATGAAAACAAAAGCAGTTACCAACAAGAGCAAGATCAATACTCCAGAGTTGAGGAAGAGAGAGGATAAGCCTCCGCCGCGGCGGCGGTCGGTGCGGCGGAGATTGGTGGAGCTTTGGAGCCAAAATGGTGGCAAATCTTCCCCATCTTCTTCCATAAGTTTAGGTATGTTTGGTTTGCTTTTGACGAGAGAGCAGAGAAAAGTGAGCTTTTTGGGACACCCTTGGGTTTGCTTTTGCTTTTGGTTGTAATGTGTTTGGTAGCTCTACTTTTTTGCTTTTGTGTGGGTTGGTTATATAACTTACGAGTAATAAACTAAGCATGAGTTTTGAATAAGGTATGTTTGATTGGTTGGAAATGGAGAGGTGATGGTGTAATAATTTAATCATATGTGGGGCCATTTTCTTGCCATGCAAGAAAAGTATGAAGAAAAGTAGTCGTATATGTACAATGAATGTATCATCACTTTGCTGTCTGTGTTTTAATTTCTAAGCAAGCTTAATCACGGTCAACTCTAATATCAATACTATGATTATTTCGACTGGATTGCGTAAATCACGCGAGTAAATTTATAATTTCTTACACTAAGTTAAGATTAAAAAGTAAATAATTTCTTACACTAAGTTCACATTTAGTTAATACAGTTTTGAGTTGAGGTCTGCTCTAATTCTAATTAAGTTCACATTTAGTAGTACTTGATTTAGTGATGGCCAAATTGAAGAATGTATTGATGAGAGGATTGATGTTGGCATTATGGAATCAATGAAGGGTATGATTTTGGAGCACACGTACACACTAGCCAGCCTCTCACTTTCCCACTTTTGTTTCAAATGATAGTGGGTTGTTTGTTGTTGGTTATAATTTTTAAAGTTTAACTACCAAACCTAATTAAAACAGATGTGCCATGTTTAACGCAATTAGAATTCATCAATTCTATTGTAAATATTAACTCTCTATAGCTGAAGTCCCTATCAGCAGCCATGGCAGAAAATAAAATTAAAAATGATATATATATATATATATATATATATATATATATATATAACCAAAAAAACGCGTACATATGTAACAAAAACAAGGGCATAATAGCGTATTACATGTGTGTGTGTGTATATATATATATAGATAATATAATAGTATAATATAATGAACTTGAAGTATCACATCAACTTCACATGTCCAACCAGACATCTAAACGCGTACATGGATGATAGTCGCATTTACATCTGACAGTTCAATATGAGGTTTTGCGAACATAAATATGCTATAAAATAATACTACTTGATAAAATTTTATATGTTAGCCGTGATTCAGTTTTGAGACTAAAAAATTTTACCCGTTTTCTTTTGCGGTGGTGAGTTCAATTTTAGGACTCTCTTATAGTCATGTATATAAATTTGGGGTAGAGAATGGTACGAGAAAATACTAAAAGTCGCATATTAGAAAGTGAAAGAGGAGGTTTTGGAGACTGAATATTGTAATCTCATGTTTTTAATATAAATGAAAATTTTTACCGAATCTTTACTTGTACGCAATTCCTTCATAACTCTCTCTCTCTGTCATTTTTGTTTCTTTGCCTCAAACACTGGGTAGTTCCCGGGGCACAATCTGTCTGCAAAACTAATAATGGCATGTTGTTTACCTCTAAAGTGCAACGTCGGTACCTCTTACATGAAGATTTATAGTAGCTGCTACTTTTTGGTGGTGTCTTAACAATTATATTTAATCAATAACCAGAATTTTGTTAGGAACTCGCACAAATGAACATTAAGAAATTAATCAGCCACCAGTTAAAAATCGGCAATCAGAAGTGCAAATCCACATTGAAGTTGCTTCCGAACACAAAATGAAAATGAAATGATCTAGGATTTCATTACTGAGTGAAGCAATATCTCTACAATTTCACATATAAATTACAGATACACAGAGACCCCAACGAATGGGAATCACAAGTTCTATAATACACAGTCTGTAATATGCACAAGATTAAAGCGGAGCCCAAGAACACGCATACGTCTGCGACACCATCGTTCTACAATTGTGCCCCAACAAGATCAAAGGGCAGCGGTTTTATGCACAAAGTGATCTGCTCGGACTTCTGTATGAGGAAGTTTGCGTAAGAGGTAGGAGGAACAAGGGCGGAATTGTAGCACCTACGACTAGAACAGAATGACAGCTATTGTGATCAGCACTGCTATTGTAAATATTAAAGCCTGCAACAATCATCATATCTGAGATTAATATAAAAGGGTGGATAAAGAAAGGGCCATATTCCATTATTGTTTCCCAGGCTAGATCTGAACAGAGTCCCCAATGCAGGAGCAGATAAACTGGTTCATACTTTAAAAAATTTCACTCGTATCTTCGGTATGCCTCAATACAAGACCAGCACGGGAAAGGATATTCAATCAAAACTGGCTATTACCCTATCTAAGAAGGTTTCCCCTCTCCTCTACAGAAGGTCTCTTAACATGGAGAACTTTTTAGTTGTAGGACAGCCAATTAGGGAAGACCAGTAAAGATAGTCATGGAACACTTACAGCTATCGCGTTAGCAGCAAGTCCTGCTCGTTCCCTAGGATCCTTGTGGTAGTAGCTCCCAAAGTAAAGAATTGTGCCATAGTACCACATCAATGGGAATACAAATCCAAGCAGAAGACTGGAAAGAAAAGAACATTTATGAGAAGAAAGAAAGAAGAAGAAGAAGAAGAAGAAGAAGAGGAAGAGGGACAGGAAACTCACGAAAACCATCCTATTCCACAGCCAAAGCAACGTAGTGGTTTGTCAAACATTCCTAATTGGTTATCCTCCACATCTTTAATGAGAGTATATTTTCCATTCTCACTCTCCTTGACATCTGTTACGAGTCCTGCATTCACCGAAACATATCAACTACTTTGCCAGGTATGTCTTGCTCATAGTTCTTATATTTTGCTACAAATCTTAAAAGAAAAGAATGCAAATAGAGCACTTTATTTTCAACTATCAAAAACAAGTTATATCAATACCAAACCATATGCACATCAGCCATTTCTAACACATAACTGTGTGCCCTCTGTAGTAGAAAATATACGAGTCACTTTCATTTTTTGTATTAAGATTTGTTTTTAATTCTTTCACTCAATTAAAATTCATTCCTGAATGCTGTGTAACTTAACATAATATAGCAGCAATCATGGTTCGAAAATAGAAGATAGGTAACAGCCAAATCCCCAGATCATCATTATCTCAATAATACCAGCAGCTTTTCCAGGGAAAAGAAAAAAATAAGGACTGATATTGTGAAGAAAACCATGAATGGGCAGTAAAAAAAAGCTAGAAGAGAATACCAAGTAGAAAGAAAATAAAAACGAGATAGTATGTCAGCTAAGTCAAAACTTCCTTAGCTGTCAAACTTCACCACAGGTTGCTGGAGCAAGAAAATACACCAAAAATTTGTTACATTCCATGGATTCAAACAAGGTTTTACTGAAAAAAGGAAGAACTCCTTAGAAATTATATCTAAGGTGGTAATCAAACCAGTGGAAGGATTGAATTTGGTGCACCATGAGATGAATTACCTCTTGCATGGACAGTAGGATGAAACAAGCTGAGACTCTCTAGTTAGGAACACAAATGAAGATTTTCAATCAATCTTGAAGCAGCTAAAACCTCTCAACAATCTTTTGATGAGAAATAAGAAAGAGAAACATGTAATTGACACTAAACAGGAGAATGGGTCATTGTAGCTTGCTCAAGGTCGCAAGGAAAGAGAGAGAAGCATGGTCAGTTAGGCAGTTGTTCTATCCGAATGCGTCTCGTTTTAGGTCAATGGGTCTTTAATGATGGCTGTCAAGATGTTTGAAGAACACTACTGGAATTTTGTATAAGACTCAGATAGCACCATTACCAATCATGGTGAGAAACTGCTAATAGATGTAATAACCAATTATTTCACCATAACATGTGACTAAATTGGTACATATGAAGAGGCCAACATCTAGTCAATCTCAGGAAAGAATAAACAATTAGACATTAAATTGGAGGGAAGGCATGGAGCTTGAACTATCACCATAGGAAGATAGGAATACGGAAACGCTAAGTTGGGTGAATAAGTAATTAATGAACTATAGTATAACAAAAACAAAGTGCTTTTTAGCTTGAATTAAAGGACACAGTAGACAACTTACACATAGCATAGAGCAGTAAGGTTCATACCCATTCCTGCCCTAGTTTACAAGAATAGAAAAGGACACAATAGACAACATGCATATAGCGTAGAGCAGTGAGGTTCATAACTTTCCCTACCTTATTTTAAAAGAACAGAAATTCAGTGGGGAGTAAGCAGGCTTCCTAACATGAAAGTGTGCATCCATGTCAGCCTGTGTGATCATAATCAATTAATTGGTTCTCTATATTGACATATTACTGTCAGGGACATTGTTTGCTGCAATGCTAAAAGGCATGAACTATCAAGCATGAGAATTGGGGGTTTGAGTTATAGGGAAGCCAATTAGTGGGAGTTCCAAGATAAGTGTCTGAGTGCTTTTGACTGCACTGATTAAACCAACTTGTTAAACAGAAAATGTTCTCTCTTTAATGGGCTACTGGATCTTCCAACAGAGACACAATGATGAAATTTGATTTTGATGGAACACAACCAAACTTTTCAGATTGGACTCTATACGAAAGGAAAATAAAACGTCAAAAAGAGGGTGTTCACTGTGTCATCACTAAAAGCGATACTGAAAAAAATAAATATGGAGAGGACATTTTAAAAAAGTTTACAAATTAATCCAAATGTCATGGAAGAGAAAGTGAAATAACTTGAATTGAAAGAAATACAAAACACCACAAGATAGATTCATTTCCACTGGACAACCAGAAACTCCCAAATATCACTGCTTACAAAAGGGAAGACCGCATCTAATGCCACTGGAAACCACAAACAAAAGCAACCACCTTCAAACTAAAACAGCCACAAATCAAAAAGGCCTCCCCTTCAGTTTACATTTTACTGGAGCAAACAACCCAGATCCGAATAAAGTTCTCTGCAGTAACTTAATAAAACCACAAACCTAAGACTTTCTATTTTAACTGGCAATTTCAAAATAGAATCATATGCATCATTAGTGCTTCTATATAAGACAAGTATGTTCTGTTCATCACTATTGCGTGCTCTGTGCAACAGAAGTAATCACGTAAACTGAAGTTCTACAGACATGAATTTTCCAAGTGTAAAGAAAGCATAGTTGTCAAATCGTGACTTGTATAATGAATTACCATCCTAACATTTAGAATCACTAATCATTGATTGTATCTTATCATCAATCATAAGATACAGAATTTTTTAAACAGTAGGTGATATGAATAGGAAGCAAGAATATATTGTAAAAAGGTAGGATGTAGTATTATATGTTTGTTTTGCTATCATGGTCATGTCATCTATGTCTAAGATGCATAACCTATTTTTTTATTTTTTATTTTTGATAAGTAAGATTTTTTAGCAACATTAACTCAGTTCTTTTCTACTTATCGAAAAGCTGTATTAAGATTTTTTTCTTATTTATCCAATAAAAGTGACTGTAAAATCATGATAAGAACGGAATTTTATGCCCTTACGCACTCACCAACGAATTTCATTCTTTTAGCAGACACAGGATTTCAAATCAAATTAGAAGACAAAGCATGGTCCATAAAAAAGAATCCACAAATATTTGAATAGTTGATTCTACTTTTCACCATCCATTTTAAAGTTTTTGTTTAAACTTCTCATTTCTGCTTTTTCTTTGTAAGATAAGCACGTGGAACTAAAAATTTTAATCTTACGTTTATTATTCTCTTTCATTTCATCTAACAATTTTCTTTTCTTTTTTTAATTAAAAACAAGCTGAATTCCAAATAAAAGCCCAAAATTTTCATAAATTCAACTGAAAAATAAACCACCAAATTATACATTATCACTTAATCAAATAAAATATTTTCATTTGAGAACTTCACTTCGAAGTTCACTCCCTTTTGCTTATACACATTTATAAGAGAAAACCAAAAATCCAAAGACTAAATAAAATGCTCACATCAAAGGTCAAAGCACAAATACAAATTTTAACTCTAATAATCAGTTGACTTCAGCAAATTCCCTTGCTGGTTTGGAAGAAGGAATAAACGCCAGTTTTTAGAGGGAGAAATCAAGTTATTGATGTCTTAAAAAAGAGTTAAAATATCTAATGGCATGAGAGAGAGAGAGAGAGAGAGAGAGAGAGAAGCAAAAAACGGTATGACCTAAAGCACTCAAAAGTGCTTTGGAAGCTAATATTGGAAATGTGAATCACGTGAATACCTTTAAAATAAATTAAAAAATTATTAAGATTCCTTGTACTATAGAAATCGCAGAGCGATTCATATCAACAAAGGGTGAAATTAGATTGAACTCGAATTGTAAACCATAAGACTCTAACAACTATGAAAGATGAAAGAAAGCCTATTAATTGTCTTCAAAATTCTCCTATCGGAGAAAATGTCATTATGTTGCAAGTTTCAACACGAGATCCTACATGGCCCCTAGGTAGGCCTGAGGGGGTAGATGAATGTGCAAAAATAGCAATGGTTTCAATAAAAACAATCTTTAAATGAACAAAACAAAGATAATTCATATCCAGACAAAGTTTAGTACTCTGATCCATGTGTCCAAAAATAATGAACTTTGATGTCCTCAGCTCCTCAGTCTTCCTTTATAGCACCTGTTACATGAAAAATACACTAAAGTAAGCAGCGTGTGTGATAAGAAATAAGAAAAATGCAGTTAAATTAATCTAAAGTAGTATGAAGTTTCCAGGTCAAGAAATTAAAACCTACAAGTCAAAGTTCATTCTAGGAACAAAATAAGAATATCAGTCATAATAAAGAGGAAAAAATTTGTCGAAGATAGAGGGTGCTCAATTGAAAAACAAAAGGAAATGAAACACAAAGACAACCGGCTGATCAAAAAAAAAAAAATATAAAAAGCCAAATTACTAACCAGTAAAAATGGGAACAGCATTTCTTAGGTATATGCTCAATAGGGTGATACATTATTTCATATAGTCCATTTACAATGACGATTCTTGAACCTCATATAGCCATATACCTTCCACCTGAACAACTGGGTCTATTTGATATGGCAACAATCAAGCACAGTGGTAAGGAGAACTAATCTGTCCGATTCAGAATGGTACTTGAAAACAAAGTGTTTAATACAAACAATAAACAAAAAAATTGCCTCCAATTTAAGAATGAAGTACACTATTGTCCAAAATCTTGGCTACGCTTCCTACAAGAGAGAAATTTGGATGGAAGTCAGTTTGATTGCATTAGAATGTGATGAGAGAATTAAGAACTAATTTTAAAACAGATTACAGTTTCATTTCCACACCAAGTCATAATTCTGAGGGTGGGCCTTGGCGCAACGGTAGTTCGAAACCGGAAACGGTCTCTCCGTGCAAATGTAAGGCTACGTACATCTGATTCTACCTAGACCCTGCAATGGTGGTGGGCGCCTCATACACTAGACTAGCCCCCCTTTTTTACCAATTCTAATTCTATTATTCGAATTTTTAGGAGTAGTTCTCAGTTTTTCTATTTTTTCAATCATGATTAAACAATTTTCCACTTAATTAATTCCTGGTGTGGAAAAACTTCCGTCTAAATGTCATTCCTCAATTTTTTTTATATAAGGAACCGATGCTTATTTAAATAATAATAATTACAATAATAATTATAATGTGAATAGCACGATGGGAGAAAAAGAGAGAGGCAGCAAATGAAATCCAACCAGCAGAGAAAAGTTTACCATGTTACTGACTTTATCACTTCCTGTAGGGAGTAGGGACAATAATTTATTGTGTTGGATCACCAAGAGCTTAGCCCTAGTGGTGTCTCCTCTTCTCCAAATGGAAGGTTACATGTTTGAATCGGCAATGGGACATATGGTGGTGCGTATGTGTGATTTACCTACCCAAAATAAATAAAGAAATAAACAATTTATTCCATACGGCATGGTAACTAAATCATGTTAGCTACTGCCAAACAAGATGATGATAAGATAAAGCCTCCGCAGTTTTATTGCAGAGAATTAAACTTGCACTTATTAATTATGAAATAGCTCATTGTTACCTATAAAATAAAATAAAATAAAATAATTCATTGTTCGATTACGTGCACAAATAACTTCTTAAACTCAATCTGAAGACCTCTAACAAAACCAGCTAACACCTAAAAAATTCCCCAAAAGATGCTATCCTGTAGTAACACTATGCACCACCCTTGAAGGAAGAAAAGGGGGAAAAATCAATATTCACAGGCTAACAGAAGGATGATGTGCAAACTAGCACTATTTCTAACTTACTCATACGCTTGTATGCTACACTGGCTCATAAATCCTAATCTTATTAAGCCAACAGGAAAACCATAAATTTCATAACCTAAAATTAAAAATAACTAGTTCGATTTGTATTCCAAATTGGAATTTGTACCTCACTACCCAATTACTGACAATAAGCAAAGCAATAATATGATCGGTGAGTTCAAATTTCAATTCTATAATTATGCAAATGAATCGAGTCGAAATAAATTCATGTGTAGTCAATTCCTTCAATGAGTAGCAGCACTATGTGGTCCTTATGCCAACTTTAAATTTTTATTTCTTTTGAAAATGTTTGATACAATAAGGTGACTGTTACAAACTTACCATTCTTAGAAGCCTCTATACTGCAGCTAAATGCACCAAAATATAAACTTAATGAACAATGATGATGACAGATATTCCTGCACAATTGAGGCTTCCCTAGATCTGCTGGAGCATGATATTGGGATTTAGGCAAATGTTTCATGAAGAAACCCACACTCAGCATGACAGATTTTATGATTTTATAGACTTCTAAACTAAATTTCAATGAGCTCAAGCATACCTATCAAAGTAGAATCCAATACAATATTTTCAGGTAGAAGATCTATAAAAAATAAAAAATAAAAAATAAAAAATAAAAAATTCAGTTCAACAATAAGAAAATCAAGGAAAAATAAATAACTACGGACCCAAATTCACTCAATATATTTCAACAAGTATTATCATCAAATACTTGCTTACCGGTGAAAAAAATGGCTACTTGAGAATCAATTCAAGTATAAATGAATAATTTTTAAATCAAAGCCAGTATTGACAGGAAAACCAAATTCAAATTGCTTACAAGTAAAGAAAAGAACTGCGAAAAAGGTGCAAATAAAAAGAGTTGGTGCAAGTTGCAATTATTTTCACTCAATTAAATTTTCAATGTTGAAACAGTTAAAGAGCTTCCCAGAAAACACGAATATGCTACTTCGAACAAAATTGAAAGTCGCCAATCAAAACCCTCCCACAAGATCACAAAGAAAACAACAAATAAACACATTTAAGTCAACCGAAGTCGTAAAAAAAAAAGGGAATTTAATCAAAACCCATCGAAAGTTAACCAGGATTACCTAAAATCAAATAAGAACAACTGAAAATGTGTTAACGAGTGATGGAGATTAAGCATGTAACAGGAACGATTCAATAAAAACCAGATATTCCGTTCTTACCCAAAAGAGAAGAGCTTGAGGGGCTTGAAAGAGGTTTCCACTGGAACAAGTTCAATAAGAGAAGCATACGAGAACATACGTAAGAAGAAGAAAAAATCTGCCTCTGTTGAGAAGTGCTTTTTCGCACTCAGACGAAAAGTAACGAAAACAACCCTGATGCAAAGCAGACTAAAACGAAATGACATTCTTTGGTAAATATTGTTTCTGATTTTTAAAATTGGTTGATTGCATAAAATTCTCGAACGAAAAAAATATATATATCTTTAAAAAAAAAATTTTAAAAAAAAAACTTTCTTTTTTTAAGATCTGAATTCAGTACTTTCTACCGACTCTGTGCATAAACTTCCAGTAGAATGCTATTGGAGAGATTTAAGCCCTCCATGAAAAATTTATTAATTATAAATGTAAAAAATAAAAATGCACATTCCATTTTTCTTGAACTTTACTTTTTCTTTTTTTTTTTTAATTTAATTGAATGACAAAAAGAACCTTATACTTATTAATGTATTATTTTCTATTTTATAATACTATAATTATCACTTTTACGGTGATAACTTCTCAGAAATCAAAGATATTTCTAAATTAATTCTTAATAATTGTTGTAGGAAAACAATTCAAAATTAAACTCAAAGCATACTAACAAAAATAACTAAATAAATAATAGCATCATCATTAACATTCACGGAATTGAATGGCTGATGGAGTAAATTGACTGTCTGGTAATGTTTTTAAATATATAAATATATATATATATACATAGGATGTGTTGGAGCAGCTTTTAGAGGTTAATGAATTAAAAAATTGTAAACTAGCTGGCTTTCTCTTGACTTAATTACATGTACATATTATATTCTATTCCATCAATGAGTTGTTTTGGAGTTAATATGCTTATGGCCACCACCAAATGCAACACTGCAATGATAATTATTAACTTGTCTTACGGTTTAAAATGTTGTAACCGTATCAATAAAATCAACACTAAAATGGTAATTACCAACTTGTTTTATTGTTTAAAATGTTGTAATCGCATCAATAATTTTTTTTTTGAATAATTCGGGCATCTTAAGCTAATCTCCGAAGGCCTAAGAAAGACGCCCCATACCCCGAACCAGGTATTAGGCATCAATTTGATACAGCCAATAACAATAATAATATAATTTTTATCATCGCAATAATAATATGATTTTTATCGGTATAATCCCGATGTTTCTATCTTGTGTTGTGTAGAACAAGCTGTGTGAGGAGTTTATATTTATCCTTACAATGGCTTCGTGATTCTCCAACAAAGCCAGTGTTTGGATTCTGAAATTTGGGATTTCAATCACAACTTTGGTCTCCTTCGTCACCCAAAATTCGTGAGGACCATTTGGAAGTATACAAAGACATCCTCCAAGTAACCCAAAGTAAAAGTTGGATGTTAATTCAACAAATGAGATGGTAGTAGGCAACACAAGCTCCCAGAATTTCTCGTTCGCCAAATAGAAAGCAACAATCTTTGATGAGGGATAGTATTTAAAAGAATTTGGGCAGCCAACATTTAACATCCTAGTAATCCTAGTAATATGCATATACTTCATGTAACTTTTTATAGGTTCTGAAACGCCTTAACATTATTTTAGGAATGAACATTGAAGAAGTACCTCCCCTTATTCAGCAGTTAATGAAGCGATAAAAATACTAAAATACCCTTTCTACAATTAAAATAAAAATAGTAAAAATTTTAACTAATGTAAAATGACTATTAGGGCCTTTATTAGACAAATTCAGTTAAAAGAAGAACATTTTTTGTATTTAAATAGTAAAAAATAGTAAACAAAATTCATTTAATGTAAAAGTTTAGTTAAAAAATTGAGTCAAAAAAGAGCATTTTCGTTATTTAATACAATTAAGTAGTCATGTGCGACGTATATGGTTTATTAATGGTACTTTTCTAACCGTTGACTACCAAAAAGTCTTAATTTGTAATATTTTTTTAAAAATTTTAAAGGAATTAGATACCCAAATATAAGAGAAATGTTATTTGTTCAAAAATAAATCTTAAGGGTGTTTTATATACCAAAGAATTTTTATAACCACACATCCAGAGGGCAATGAGTATCCCATAAGTAAAATATAAAAGCAAGTATAACTAAAAATATTTATTATTTTATTATTTTATTGTTATGGATTAGATTTATAGGTTTATCTTTTATTTAAAAGAGTGGGTAAGTTAGTAATATCTCTTATAAATAAATTACTTTATTTAATGAACAAAACCTAACTCTGTCTCTATCTCTCTATTTTCACCTGTACAAATAACATAAACCATAAACTCTTTAAACCTAATTTTAAGTGAGCTGAATAATCGAATCGGTGAGGAGTGGTGGGCCGGCCCACAAATCATTATTCTAGTCTCACTTAAATTGCTCGATTGTCTTGGGCTATATGGAGATGATCCAATGTGTGTAACACCCAGTTACATACATACACGTACACATTCATCGTGCTGGCTGGCACAACCATACGGATTAGGGTTTGTCATCAGTAAATGAGCTAGTATAGCCATCCCAATATCAGCAGACAATGGCGAAGATGGAGGTGGACGAACCACACCCTAATCTAAAGACGGAGGAGAAGAAGAAGAAGAAGAAGAAGAAGAAGAAGATGAAGGTGGACGAACCACATCCTATTCTAAAGACGGAGGAGAAGAAGAAGAAGAAGATGAAGATGAAGGTGGAGGAGAGAGAACAAAATCCAGACACCGAAGATGAAGACGAAGAAAACAAGAGCAATAAGAAGAAGAGAGAGAAAAAGAAGAAAGACACGGTACACGTGAAGATCGAGACCCTCAGCGAAAACCCAAACAAGATCTCTCCTTTCGTCGGCTACTTTCCCTCCGGTTACGATCCTCTGAAGTTGGGTCCCGAAACCCCCGAATCAGAATCACCTCCACAACATAGGGTTAGGGTTTTCAGGGACGTGAAAAAGACTAAACGGTTGCAGCTCGTGGTCACCCCAAATGGGTCCAAGGTCGATTTCGTCGGCATCAACTATGAGGGCGAAGCCGCTGCTGCTCAGGTATGTACGTATGCTCTTGGGGTTCTTGATAAGCAGACCCAGACGCTGAAAGTTGTTCCGATTGCTTCCAATAAGGTAATTTGCTTTTACTTTGGCTTTGATGGTTTCGTTGGCTACGTGTGATTGAGAGAAAATAAGTTATAAAAACTTGAAATTTGTATATAATGTTGTATGGAGTTACTGTTAACTGGTGTTAGTTATGCAAATAAGAGAATTCGTACTTCACGTTTCTCTGATTTGGGTATAATATGTTCTCCTCTATTTTTTAATGTTTTTTTTTTTCTTAAGAAAATTTACTAATGAAGTTAATGTTTAATTGCTGAGAAAATGCAGGAAAAGGAAAGAAAAAAGAAAAATATTTTAAGCATAGTTATTTCTTTTGATTATTATTTTGGATTGGAGATAGAAGATTTACTTATCTGAGAGGTTTATAGACAGTAGAAGTACATGTCACTTGTGAACGTGTTCGTCCAGAACACTTCAACTTGAATACTTTATGCATTCCAATCATTTTGCCTCTTATATTTTATAATTTTAGATTGCGTTTAATTCAAATAGTTTTAGTAAAATTTAGGGGCCATTGGCTTTTTTTGGACCTCATGTTGAGGTTGTGTACCCAATGACAAGTTTGAGTACTATCCTAAGGTTTTAAAATGTGACTTGTTTTTATGCTGAATGCGGCCAAGTCTTTGAGAATGAGAAACCTTTTTTATATTAGCTTCAATGCTTTTGGTGTTTCTTTGGCATTTATTGTAGTTTGCATTGAATTAAAACCATTAATCTGGCTTGGGTATTTAATTGCAGATATTTAGGTTGGAGCCAAAAATTAGAAGCTCTGGTTTATCTGAAAATGAACCTTCAAATTTGTTGACGGAAGAGCCCACCGCAGAACAGAAGACTGACAAACGTAGAGAACTAACACTTGTGTATGGAACAAAGAGGTCGAGAAACCAGGTATGGTCTCCTTCCCTTTGTAGGTTAATTTGAGTTAAATATCTACAAGCTTATGGCGTCTTCTATGAGTTTTAATTTGTCTCACAGCAATTGGTAAATGAAACTCGATATTTGTGTTGCATTGAAAATGTTGCTATTTGCTGCTTGGCCAACTGAAGCTTTTTCTAGATTGAAATTTACTGAATTGGCCATCAACTAGTGAGTTTCTATTGTTGTACATGTGAACAATTATTCCGTGCATGGTAATTTCTAAAGTATGATTTTTGGCACAAGTAATTCTTATTAGTAAGTAAATAAAAAATAAAAATAAAAAAAAACTACCAAGAAACCTTAAGCTATTTCAACTTTTCCTATCAATGTTTTCCTTGGAAATAATCTGGATATAATGTGGTATTATATGTATTACATTGCAGGATATGAAACGTCAATCTTTACATCCACAAGAACATCTTGGAGTAAAGGAGGATTCGGAAAGTAAATTAGAGGAAATCAAGCCAAGCAAGGAGGCCTTTGATAGTGCTGATGCTTATAATGCTCGAAATATCCCACCACATGATATTTCTGCCACTACACCCGAAACGGCTTATCCACTGGACAAGATTATCTTCAAAGGCGAGTGGGATTACCTTTTAGATATTCTCAAGGGTTCAGATATAAGGGCAGATGTTTACCCGAGCTTTGTTTGCAACAGAATTCATAGATTGGACAATATTGAGGTATGCAATTAAATAGGTTCTACATTTTTTACTCTGTTTGTTTAGTTGTTATTGGATATCCTTTTGGCTATTGTAGAGGATTATAAAAAAAAGTTTCAACATGAGCAAGCATTCTGTGGTCTGGCTTGTCATGGATCCAGCAGCAGTTAGAAACTTAGAATAAGTAGTTCCTGGCAAGTCACATGAAAAGTTTCTAATGTTATGCTCCCATGAGATTGGCATTCCTTCATTATCATTATCATTATCATTATCATTATTATTATTATTATTTGTTTATTTATTTATTTTCCAATGAAAAGAAACCAGCCATGAAGTGGTGCTATATGTTGGCAAGTTTATCTGTACCAACAAGATCAACCTCATTAATCAGAAGATTATCCTGACAGACACATGAAAAGTTTTCATTGTTTGTTCCCATGAGTTTGGCAGTCCCTATACTTGTATATATATGTATTTCTTTTCAATAAAAGGCACAAAATGGTGCTTATATATAATTTAATCTTGGTAGGGTGATGGATAGGCGAGATGGGTTATACCGCACAATATTCTCTCATATACCCATTACGTGTTTATATATACTGGCTTCTGAGATTCGAAACATTGGTATACAACACAATTCAATTTTAGATTCAGCGTGCCCTTCTTGTCTTTTATATTTTTTGATGTCTAACAGATTCTCTGTTTCATGTTATATAGGATGAGGTGGAGCAGAAGAAGCTTGCTTGCATCCTGTCATACATTGCTCATCTCATAAAGTTCAAGGATAAACACTCTATGGAGGGCGTCTCTTCTGCAAAGCATCATAAATTCCCGAGCATTTTATCCCAGAAGTTTTCCAACATGTTTGGTGAGTCGGAATTAAGAAGACTTTCAAACGAGAAGAGTGATCTTCTTATCAGTTATGTTTTGGTTCTTAGTCTCTTCGTGGATGACTTCCGGAGTGACCCAACAGATATAACTAAGGATCTGAGGATGTCTGTGGTGGCAGTGAGACCATATTATGAACATTTAGGTTGCAAGTTTGTACGCACGGGCACGATATCGTGGGCTACACTTCCTACCCCACTTCGATTTCCTAAAATAAGGGGGAAGCGAAGAAGGTAGACAGACCCGTTAAGAGTTTTTGTTCTCGTTTACTGTTTGATAATACATATAAAATTTTGGGTGGTCTTATGCTTTGCTAGTTCATGAGATGATTAAAATTATTGCAGTGAGATTTGTAACTTTGAAGAAAATGGTGGTGGAATATGTGGAAGTACCTCTTTAATCTTTATAATCAATGGATGTCGTTTTCAGTATCTGTTTGTTACATTTGCATCTAGCTTTATGATCTTTGTCACAGATCTTTTCGTGCTCGTAGGGGAAAGTTTCAAGAGATCATTTTGGAGGTTTGCCAAATTAAAAGGGTGATCGTACGGATGGCATACGAGATACCCATTTGGTGTTGCTGTTACTTCAAAAGAGCTTTTAGCTAAAGCTAAAAATTGGAGCTTTTTACATATTATATTTATGAACATTTAGAAAAAGTGTTCTGCGTGTTCTATATATAAAAATAATGCCTAAATCATATAAATATAGCAACCCAAAGTGACCACTCAATAGAAATAAACGTGCAGCCCTTTAAATTTTGCAGCCTTCGAAAAATGCAAGGATGACAATGATAGAGAAATGGAAGAAGTGGTAATAATAATTCAAGTCATGAAAAATGGAAGAACTGTGAATAATTCAAGAAGCAGCAATTACCGTTATACATAATAATTTGTAATCAAACGGAAAGTATCGGAAATGTGGAATTGATTATTGATTTGTGTTGAATCTGTTGATTGATGGTCTGTTCTCCTTACAAGCCTTGTTCTGATAACAAGAAACAAATTTTGTAAATTCGGAATTTGCCAACTGTTGACTACATCATCCTCGAAGAACATTACATTATTTAGTACCCCGTATGATAGATATGATACAAACTACCCATTCCACAATCAATTCACATATCTACCAGCGAGTATTCAAGCATTTCACATCTTCAGAAATAAAAATGATATAGAAACATCAGGGGAAAATAATAATAATAATAATAATACTTCCAAACTGCTGTTCTCTTGTGGGGGTACTGGAACCTTGGCGGATTTGATTGCTTTCTTTTCCAAGTGTCTACCATTAGAATTGGATTGCAGTTGTTCTTTCCCTTGTTCACTGAGCATTTCGCTAACAGCACTGATGGTAAAATTAGTTCCACTACAAAATATAGGAATCAATCATTTCTTATATAACAAATTCTCCATGGTACCAACACCAATTGACAATTTAGTTTGTAAAAGCCACATAATTCAGAGTTAGCTTCCATACCAGGCCCCGACTTAGAAAGGAACATCGCAATCAAGGCAGGCTGCAAATGGCACGTATCCATCGCCTATAAATACAGGGTTGGTTCAAATCAAATTTAGAATTAAAAGCAAAAATGCAGAGAGCGACTACAAACATTTTTTAATACGAAATGGACTGCAGTTCTAGATGATATAGGGAATCCACTAAACTGTTACTTATTTTATTTTTAAAAAACTAAAGAGAGACCAAATTATCCTTTTCTATTCCAATCTTACTATTTCCTTCATTTAATTTCTCTAAAATTTCTACCCAGAAGGAAATCTCCGCCACATTTCATTGAAAACAACATCTACATGAGATGTCAGGTCTATTGTAAATTTAAAATTAGATCTTATTCTGAATTTCCTTACCTTCTACTTTTAACATGTTAGAGAATTCCAGGTTTCAAAAAAAAGAAAGGGGTGAGAGTGGGGTCAGGTCATACATGTTAGAGCAAAGAAATTTAACATCCATTATCTAGGAAAGAAGACGAGGAGTCCCAAAATATCATTTGGTTCACCAAGTGAGGAGAGGAAGAAGTAAGAACATATGCTGAAATTAAACTGGTTCCAACAAGTTCTCATCTCAAAAGTGAGTAAATTAACAAAAATCTTTGGCACAGAAGTTGGGAAACTGCAGAAGTTTCTAGGATGGATTTGAGTGCCTTTAAGTGCTAAACAAACAAAATAGAATCATTTCTTCATGGGGAATGTCCAAAACTCCCATTACGGCCAAAATCATACAAACTGAAAATTCTCAAAAGCATTTGACAGCCAACACCATTTATTCATGGATTAGTAACAGGAAGGATGAGAATTTAAAGTGCAGGTGATGATTAAAAAACTTAACATACCGATCCATCGTAATATTCCTAGACCGATTCTCAATTTGTCTGCAGTATATATTCATATCTATAATGTTGAAGCCAGATCTTGTAAACAAGGCTGACAAAGAATCTTCTGAGAAGTAAAACGAGCACTGGCATATAGAACTGAAAACTATGAAAACCTGGCCACATTAAACGTATTAATATTACTCAAAGAACAACTATGAGCCTCATGAAATACTTACAGTGCCATCTCCTCGAATATAGAAATTCTCACTAACCATCTGATTCTTGTTCTGCAACTTCACCTGAAAGTTGACCAGCTTAACAAGAGGATGATGAAGCCTAACATTGATTCAATGTAGAAAAAAACGCATCAAATGAGAAGAAACAACTACCAAGAGCAAATGCTAAGAAGCCATTATTACAACATAATGTTAAACTTCTGTATATTTATGTGTAGTGGAGTTTCTTGTCTGAAATTCATTATGGAGAAAACAATAAGTTATTAGATCAATTTATAATTAAAAATTTATTGCAGGATTTGACATCAGATTCAACACGGTTCAGGAAGAAAACACCATCCTAATAACATTTAAAATATTTCACAGGATTTGGGTTCTTGTTTTGAATGAAAGCGGAGATGGAATGGCCAATTGCAGCTAAAGAGTGCTACAAGAGTAGTTCCAAGGTTTCTATATATATATATTTTTTTTGAAGAAATAGAACAAAATATTATGGTGTGAAAAGGACAAAAACCAAAAAGTCAATCATCCCTAGTATATTCTAATCAGGGCATGGGCAGATTCGGGGGAATTGCGCCTGTGCCTAGCAATTCCAATATCTTTCATTAAATTATCCTTTATATATTCTAAATCATTTGGCAATATAATAACCAAGTCGGATTACTTTCACATATTCTAATCGGTCTCTCACTCTTGTGTTTACATCACAGCCACCTTCATCAACATTCACCATTGCCTCCCACTCTCATGTCCAATAGTCTCTTTTTTTTTTTTTTTTTGACTTAGCATAAAGATATATAAACCAAAAGGCAAACTTCTTTTTCTCTCTTTAGTCTTGTTTCTGCTTGTACACAGCAGAGACCGCGAGTTGCATGTCCTTTCCTTTCCTTTTCTTGGAAGGATTCCCTATCATTCTCTCTGTATTTCCTTTTAATCCATTCAAGTAATTTTGGTTACTTGACCAACTTACATATAAAAATATATAAAAAGAAGTTGTGGAACAACAACCATAAGTTTTCAATAAATAAGTGAAGATTAGAGGACTGTCTCTGTCAGAATAATCAGTATTATTCCAACCACCTTAACAAATATGTAAACTATTTCATTATCTGCTTATCCAATGTCTTAATGAAAAGTATAAATAAAGTCTAAAAACAGTATAGTATAGGGATTAGAAATATCACAAGACTCACTTGGGCATAGTCTCCAAGGGCGTAGTCTCGTAAAAGAACATAACCATCCGGCTAACAATTGAAAATATCCATTACAAGTTACTCTAAAAAAAGGAGTACCAACAAATGAAAATATAAAAAGGTTGTCAGCCAATATCATTTCAGAGGTACCTTCAGTACTTTTTTAATGTTAAGTAATATCAAAGGCATCTTCTCTGGACAAACTGCAGACAACATAAAAATCTATTTAACATATTAGGTGCTTATAGTTGGTGAGTAGTCACAATGTTCAAAAGCTGAGTACAGGGAAAATTCCACATGACTATGTGGAGAAAACAAATTTTCAAACGAGAAATATAAAGCAATAACCATACACAGAAACAAGAATATATGTTTTTAACTCACTATCCACTCTTACCAAGGTAACAACATCAATAGAAGAAGGCATAATTCTGTCACAGAGATTGTTGTTTGCAACATCGCAAACAAATGCATCTACCCGGTCTTCACTAAAATCCACATGGGACTGCATTCAATATACAACAAAAGTTACTCAAAACCATGATGGGCCATTTGCATTACAATACTGTAACTCTCCACAGACTATTACCATGAATCAAGAAACAGAAACATGCACAAACATATATTGCTATATCGGGTGAACATTTCTTATAATTCAAATTTTCAAAACCAACCTTAGCTCAGTTGACAAAGCCGATGACTGTAGTTGGCTAATTCCTAATTTACCCAAAAAAAAAAAAAAAAAAAAAAAATTCTTATAATTCAGAAGATTGGTTAATAGGTCTCATAGAGGATTGTAGAGGTAAGCAAGGAGATCTACACATGGTTTTATAGACATGGAGAAGGCATGTGATAGAGTTCTAAGATATATGATATGGTAGACACTACGAAGAAAACATATTCTGGTAAGATTTAAGAACTTATTCAGGATATATACAAGAATTCTAAGACTAGAGTTCGAACTATATGTGGGGAGATGATTGAGTTTCCTATAAGAGTAGGATTACACCAAGATTCAGCACTAAATCCATATTTATTTATGGTAATCTTGGATGAAATAACGAAATATTTGCAAGAAGACATTCCATGATGCATGTTATTTGCGGATGACATTGTGCTATTGGATGGCTTTAAAAGAAACCTCAGCAATAGAACTAGAAAATTGAAGGATGGTCATAGAGTCAAAAGGCTTAAAAATTAGTAGAACTAAGACGGAATACATGAATGTAAATTAGTAATTCAGTAGGAAATGACAATATAGCAATAAAATTCAAGACAAAAACATTACTTAAAGTATTGTTTTCCGATACCTAGGATCAATTGTACAAAAAGATGAGGAGATTGGTGATGATACAAGTAGTAGAATTGGGATAGGTTGGACCAATTGGAGGAACGCTAGTGGAGTTTATGTGATAAACGAATGCCTAATAAGTAAAAGGGAAAAGTATATAGAACAGTCATTAGACCGGCTATGTTATATGGTGCAGAATGTTGGGCTTTAAAAAAGAAACACGAACAACGCATGATGCGCATCCATTTGACGAAAATGCAAATGTTAAGATGGATGTTAGAAATGGCCAGGAAAGACAAGATTAATAATCAAAGGATTAGAGAGAAATTAAGTGTGGCACCTATTAGCGAGAAAATAAGAGAGAGTAGACTTAGGTGTTATGGGCATATTCAACATCGACCCATAGATGCACCCATGAGGAGAGGTAGATTGATTTGCATAGAGGGTAAGAGACAAAAAGGTCGACCAAAACTAACATGGAATGAAGTGATAAAAATGATTTTAAAAAATTAAATCTAGTTCATATGGCTTATGAAAGAAAAGAGTGAAAAAATCCATGTGGCTGACCCCATTTGCACAGTATAAAGCAACTAGGCAAAGGATGATGATGATGATGATGGTTAATAGGTCTCATGAACATGAACAAAGCAACATTGGCAACTGACAAAGCTCCAATTGTAAGAATTAATGAGAGAGAGATTTAGACAAAATGACTCAGTTGAGAAAATGATAATGGCAAATGAATGCATTTAATCTACATTATATGCGAACATTCAGGTATTTTCAAACTAATCAAGGAAAATTACAAGGAAAAGGATATTGGGGTGGATAGCCAACATTAACCATGAAGTAAAGCAAAGGAAATCTCTTTTGCTTCTGGGCACAATGAGTTGTGATCATGATGCTAGCAATTTACCATATTATTGTCTGCATAACCCTGAGTTGATATGCATCATGCCAAAAATATCTAATTCAGAATAATAAATGAACTAACCATATATATAACTACACAATTCTCAGACGAGGGAATCACAAAAAAAAAAATCTGCATTTTTCAATACGTACAGTTACACACACACAAAAAGAGATGATTTTGATCTTCATTTCAATAAAAGTATACAGGAAGGGATGGAAAAAGAACATAGAAAATTTTTTCCTCTTTTCATAAATGAGATGCAACTAGGATTATGGAGTAACACTTAGCATGCTTCTAAAGTTAATATATATATATATATATATATATATATATTGATAAGTTATATACATATACAAACCTTAACGAGTGAAGGGAAGGAAAAAGAACATACACGAATTTTCCCTCTTTCCATAAAAGAGATGTAACTAAGATCATGAAGTAACACTTAAGCATTCTTCTAAAGTTAAAATGTGTGTGTGTGTGTGTGTGTGTTGATAAATTATATAAATATATATTAAAATTACAAACCTTAACGAGTGTGATTGCTTGGGGCGAGAAATCACAGGCATGAACGAAAAGTTTGGGATATGCGGCAACAAGCGGAAAGATAGTATTGCCAGCTCCACAGCCAACCTGCCGCTTGCAAATGTCAGGCTTCTTTCTACAAGTAATTACTGAATCTACCATGCAAAAACATAGAAATAGCGTCACTCAATTCAATCAAGATCCAAGATGGTTGATAACTTCTCTGTAATGAAATTCATTTTCGTTTAAATAAAAAATAATAATATAAATTTCACATCGGCAAAAACACTAATGGATGAGGTATATATAAGAATGATGCCCTTACTTTTGTTCATAACTCTAAAAATTGATTATGCTTTAACACACAGTACATTTGATTCTGTAAAAAGGAAACTTATACATTTGAGTAAAACAAATTTGCATGCATTGATGGGTGCATATAAGTTGTATGCAGTAAGAAGAGCAGCTAAGACCATGTACATGGAAACTAGATTCAAAAATCACTTTGGTCAAAGAAATAACTGCATAGACAATACTCATATAACTAAATTTATTGCACATATCCAGCGATCAATAAAAAGAACTACACTCATCCTCAACAACAATATTTTTCGCTTTACTAATAATGAAATACATTAGTTTCACTGAGCATTAGCTTGAGTGGTGTCTCCTCCACCTCCCAAAGAGGAGGCTGATTGTTAATTCCCAATTGGAAGAAATAGGGTGTATGAGTCTGTCTTACTTATCATTTATCAATATATATATAAATATGGATTTTTATATATTGCAGAAACTGAAATATATATATAAATGAATAATTTAAATCTTGTGGGGATGGTTGATACTTGATGGTAGTAAAATAGTAACTAACCTCTAAAACGACCTTCCCGTTTGGGGATTCTGAATTATCATCAGAGAAATACTGTCCCCAGTCTTTCTCTAAGTAATGCCGATCCTTGAAGAACTGTAACAAGTAAAATCCAAACGTTTACATATACATACATTATATTACAAATATGAAAATGACTTTTAAACTATCAAAACCCTAATTAGCTGAGTATGAGGAATGAGGAAATAGAAACGTCAAGACCTTGTTTTGGTGGCGCTTGTAGAACTTGTCCCAGGACTTGATGGCGCTGTTTTGTGGAGAGTGATGATGGTCATCATGAATTCGCAGTGGAAGAGATCGGACGGTCGTCGATAGACTGCAATGTCGCCGAGGACCGGCGATGAAAAATGGGCCCACAAAAAAATTTAAGCAATACGAAAACGGTGAGATTGAAATGGTGGCAAGACGTGCTGCTCTCATCTCTCGCACAGCACCACACACACCCCAGCAGTACACATATATCATGCGTATGTAAATGCGTTAATCGCACAAAAACCCTTAAATTATAAAAAATTATACCCCTTGTTACATACAAAATGTATCCACCTCCAATATTAAAAATAATAAATAAAATAAAATTCCAAATGCAAAGACATTTTCAAGTAAAATATCTAAAATACTCTTAGGAAAAAATTAAAATAAAAACCAAAAACTCTCATAGAAAAAATAAAAAAGGATATTTTGAAAATTTTATAATATATGTTGATTAAAATTGACGGCTAAAAGAATAATTTATACATATTTTTCAAAATTTTAAAAGTTATTAGCCTCTCATGGTCGAATTATAATGTTACGTTTGGTGTGTAGGGGTGGAATGAAATATAAGTGGGAATGGAATGTAAGTAGGAATGGAAAGGTTATTCTCATTATATTGTTTTGTTGTAAATATGAAATGTGTAGGAATTGAATGATAATAATCATTCTAGTGTTTGATTGGACCAATTTAAAATTTAGAATGAAATAAATTTTTAATTGAATTCTCAAAAATATCACTCTTAGTAATAAATAAATTAAATTAACAAAATGACATTTTTTAATAATTTTAAAAAAATAAATGGTGGCAGTTGTGGTGGCGGTGATGGATGGTGGAAAGGGGTAGTGGTGTTGGAAGGCGGCGATGGTGACAACGGTGGAAAGTGGTGACAACGGTGGTGGTGGAAGGTGGCAGTGGTATTGGTGGAAGGCGGCAGCAGTAGTGTGGTGGTTGTGGTGGAAGGAGATGGTGGTGTGACTATGGTAGTGGTGGAAGGCGGTGGTGGTGATGGAAGGCGGTAGCGGTGATGGTGGTGGCAATGGTGAAAGGCGATGGCGGTGACGATGGTGAAAGGTAAAAAGTGGTGTGCGATGGTGAAAGCGGGTGACGGTGGTGGTGATTGAAGACGGTGGTAGTAGTGAAAGGCATGCGTGGTCGTAGTGAATGGTAATAGTGGTTTTTTGATTTGGAACATAAGGGTTTTTTGAGAAGTTAATTTTTTTTAAAAAAATTACTTGGATAAGGGTTAATTTCACTCGTAGCCTTTAGATTTGGCTAATTTTCAACCTTAAATATCTTTCGAAAACAACTGCACTTACGTTACAAACTTTTATTATGTTTTTCCTTCACACCTCAACCATTAGTTGAATAATTCTGACCTAATATAAAATGACTTAAATACTCTTTAATTTTCTTAAAACAACTCTTTACCCTATATGATTATATTAAAAGTCTAAAATACCCCTATTTTTTTTGTAAATTTACCAAATTATATATATATATATATATATATATATATATATATATATATATATAGACAAACACACACACATATGTATATTATATACACAATCACAACACCGGCGAGGATGTCAGCACAAGTGGTGGCGGCGGCAGGGCAGGCGCAGGAGAAGACGGTGGGGGCGTCGAGGAAACAAGGTACAGAGGATGCCTGAAGAACCATGCCGTGTACGACCGCAGAGAGCCCATCAAAGGCGTCAAGACCTCCAACGTTAGTCACGCCACCGTCAACCGATCTGGGTGCCTTCACCGCCATCACCTCTGTGCCTAACCGATGTCGTCACCATGGGTTGCGATTGGATTTGCCAGAGCAGCAACGAAGATGCAGTGGTGGCGATTTTGATATTGGCGGAGGCGGTGGTTGGCGTTTCTGATTCCACCATTTTTATTTTCTTCAATCTTTTAATGCAAATTAATGAGGCTCGAAATCATTCAATCGCACAATGTATACAGGCATTGATGCTCTCCCATGAACCAATTTGCTATCAACCCCGAAATTACTTCACAAATAAATCCCAAAACAAAGTCTCGGCCAAACAGTTCCGACGAGGTGGAAAGCGGTGGTTGTCGTTTCTGATGACGGGTGTGTGGGTTGTGGTGGTGGGTACTGGGATAGGTGTAATAATAAGGGTATATAGGTCATTTACATAATTTAATATTTAAAAATAAATGAGATTTAAAAATTAAGAATAAATTATTATTTTTTTACCTGTATTTAACAAGAAAAATGAGAATAGATTTAAGTAATAATTATTTTTAAAAAATATTTAAGGATAAAGAAATAACCAAACTTAAGGAAGCCTGAGTGAGATTAACCTCCGTAATAAAGCCTTTTCGTCAAACCAAGCATTTGGAGGCCACAAAGGGTTGATTGTCAGTTCAATTTAATAACTTTATTACACTTCGTATAGATGTTAACACCTAAAATATAATTCGAAACAATCATGCCACGTGGTCAGAAATCATGAAGTCTGACCTGGCGAGAGATTAATTTCTAATCATGGCGATTCGATTTAAGGCTGAGAATGAAGAAGAGTGGAATTTTTTGGGCCATTAAGACTGATATGAGGTTTTGAGTCCATAACCGGCCATGATTGAGAGTCTCAGTCACTATGGTTATGACTCCCAGTCTCAATGGTCATGATCATAAGTCTTAGGCCAAAACCTTCTCGGTCATCCTGGTCATGAGAGTCTCAGTCATCATGATCATAAGTCTTAGGCCAAAACCTTCTCAGTCATCTTGGTCATGAGAGTCTCAGTCTCATGGTCGTAAGTTTTAGGCCAAAATCTTCTCAGTCACTATGGCTATGACTCCCAGTCTCAATGGTCATGATCATGAGTCTTAGGCCAAAACCTTCTCGGTCATCCTGGTCATGAGAGTCTCAGTCTCATGGTCGTAAGTTTTAGGCCAAAATCTTCTCAGTCACTATGGCTATGACTCCCAGTCTCAATGGTCATGATCATGAGTCTTAAGCCAAAACCTTCTCAGTCACTATGGTCATGATCATAAGTTTTAGGCCAAAATACTCTCAGTCACAACTTTCTCAATCACAACGGTCATAGTCAGGAGACCCTCAGTCATAATGGTCATGATTATAAATCTTAACCAAGATTTCTAGTCATTATGGCCATGATCAAGACTTATAACCAAATATGGCCATGATCAAGACTTATGACCAAATATGGTCATGATCAGGGGTCTCGGGTCATAATCATTTGAGGAATCTTTGAGGTAATTCAAATAAAGACCGATTGTGAATCCCAATGTTTCGAGAACCCAACAAGTCAGGTCTAGAAGTTTGAGGAAAGCTTGAAATAGAAAAGGACAACTTGACAATGTCAGAAGTTCAGAACTACAGGTGGAAGGTTCTCACCAACATCTGATGAGGAAAGTCAGGATTGTCAGTAATCAGATGACTCCAGGCTAATGTACAAATCAAGCCAGACATGACAGGTGCAGAGAGCTGAAAATGGCTTGAAGACCAAAATCATCAAGCATGAAAGAATAGGCACCATTTAGTCAAAAATACCATGTCAGACATACTTGTATCTGCCTATAGAGGGATGTGCAAGTTAGTCAACCTTTCCAGCTGGTGGTTAGGAAAAGTCACTTTCAGCTTACAACCAATCAATTTCTAGAGAAACGGTTGAAAGGGACAACACCAGGTGGAAACCTCTATAAATACCCACTCAAGCATCACAAGGAAGAGGTCCAAGACCATTTCTAAAGTTCAACCTTTAGCATTCCTATCATTTAGCACTTAGCTTTTATTTCATCAAGCTCAGTTTAGCACTTAGCTTTTATTTCAGCAAGTTTAGCTTAACACTATCAGTTTAGTACTTAGTTCATCTTCCAGCATTTAATACTTTAGTTTCCATTTCAATCAAGAGTTTGTAATTCATTCATCATTGTAATCAGTCAAGCTCAATGAAGAAAGGTTTGCAGATTCAGGTATATTTATTGTCCAGTTAAGTTGCTTCTAATTCATGTTTATCTTGAGTGTTTAAAGTCCTTTCTTAAAGGCAATAGCAACCTTAAGGAGAGGGTCATTCCTACTCTCCAACTTTCGCCTGAATCACCTTAGGTCGGTGACCCGACCCGATAGGAATAGTTTGGCAAGAAATATTCGAGTCCATCAGGACTCTGGCACGCCCGCGTTCTAGGTTAGCTGTTCATTGGCTAGCGACCTCAGACCACTTTGTGAGCCAAATAACTTTGGCACGCCGAGTGGGACTTGTGTTTTATTTGTGAATGGTCGTCGAGACTAGGTCACAGACTCAGACTTCAGCTGGACAAGCTAACCCTCAAAGGGAAGATCAGGAAGAAAATCAGCCTGCTCCCATCATGTAAGATTCCGGGTCTGAGCATGAAGAGGGACATCAGGCCAGCCACCAAATGGCGGCCGAAAGTATCAGCAATATGGTGACACGATTTGAAAGTAGAGTGGAGGCTCCCCAACGCCAAGTCGCTTGGGAAATCAACAAAAATATGGAGCCATTGGTGGCTTCATCCCACATGACTAATACTCAGCTCCAACAGCTGAATGAGGTGATTAATGCCTTAGTGACTCGTATTGATAGGCAGGTCATTGCTCAGCCGCCTAGGTTAGAAAACCAGAATGATAGACCCGTGGACCAGTTTCCTCCTCAACAAGTTGGTCAACCAGAAAGAGGTGCCCAACCACATCCCATGGTTAATGGTCCTCGACCAGTAGCTCCAATTCCACCACAAGTCCATCCAGTAGAGCAAGGAGTGAATGGTCACCAACAACCAAGATGGAGGAATCATGACCAACCTAATGGTCGACCTCTTCATTTTCAACCTCAAGTCTTGCCACCTCAGGCTGCGAACCCAGGGGGGCAAGAGGGACATAACCCTTGGCCCAATGTCCCTTTTCAGAACCAAGTCCCACCTATGGTCATGACTAGGGAGCAATTGGCTGAGGTCATACAAGAACAGTATGGACCAGCTTTAAAAAGGGCTACTCGACCTACTTTTAGGCACCCATTTCCTGACTGGATAGATCGGATGGATCTTCCCCAAAATTTTCGGGTGCCAAACTTTGCAACTTTCTCAGGAGAAGGCAACCAATCGACTCTTGAGCACATTGGCCGTTTCACATTAAAATGTGGGCCACTCAGCAACAACGATTGGTATAAAATGAAGCTATTCTCTAACACCCTCACTGAGACTGCCTTCAAGTGGTATCTAAACTTGCCACCAAATTCCATCCACACTTGGCAATAGATGCAGGATGTGTTCCGTGATCAGTTCTATAGGACAGAACCAGAAGTCTCTATGTCCGACCTATCTAGGATCCATCAGTTGCCAAATGAGGATGTTGAGACATTTTTGGCTAGGTTTAAGAAGGCACGAAATAGGTGCCAACTTACTTTGCCTGAAGAAGAATTTGTCAACTTGGCCCTTAGCGGTTTAGACTTTGAATTACGAAAGAAGTTCGAGGGTACTCATTTTGGAGATTTGTTCTAATTAGCCGATAGGGTTACCAAGTATGAAAAAATCTTACGAGAGGAAAACGAGAGGAAAAACTCCTCTCGGGGGACCTATTATAAGGACCCTAATTATGAAATACACATGGTTGATACAGTATATGATGACCTAGAGGTCGATGCTGTTGAAATTGTTTCAAAAAAACCATATGTATGTAAAGCTTTAGCTAAGCCCTTAGAGACTGTTAGCGGTGTTCAACCCTCATCATCTTCAGCCAAAAGGAATATCTTTAAGGCTGGCAAACAATATGTTTTCGATATAAGTAAAGCAGAGCAAATCTTTGACCACCTGTTGTCTAATAAAATTATCAAAGTCACTGGGGTACATAAAATACCTTCAGCTGATGAAATCAAGGGTCGAGAGTATTGCAAATATCATAACTCCTGGAATCATGCAACTAATAATTGTGTTGTCTTTCGTAATGTGATTCAGGCACAGATCGAGAAGGGGGCATGGAAGTTCCCGGAGAAGAAGAAAGAGGTGATGAGCGTTGACAGTGATCCATTCCCAGCCTTGGTCAGCAGTAACATGGTCGAAATCTGAATGGCCAGCAGGCCACGGAGAAGAATTGATTTTGAGGATACTTCAGCTAACAGAGAAAGCAAGGCTGAAGGAAAGAAGCCGATGGTTAAGGAAACTCCAAGGTCTAAGGATGACTTAGAAAAGGAGTTGCGGGAGGCTCAACTGGCGCTGATCAAGCAAGGATTATGCCCTAAATGCAAGACAGACATTGGAAGGGACCGAGAGAGGTTCCACAGCGACACTCGGGGACGTCCTGGAAGTTCACGTCATGAAGACAGACCTAGGTCACCCTCGTCTAGGGTGCCTGTGACAAGTCGATTAACATGGCCTGATAGAAGGTCTAATACCAATGAGCACAAGCAAAGGCGAGAAGTGAACTCCAACAGTCGGTCAAGGAATCTTACTCATGCTGTCTGGAAGCCGAGGGAGCATAACTCAAATGTGGCTCGCCAGGCTGAGACATCAGTTAACCACCCAAACCATAGGCAACGGATGGTCAAGCCACCAGTCACTGACGACGGTCGATGGTCAAGGGTGAGTCATCCAAAGTTCTCTAGGGTCAGGGATATCCCGCCAGCATTCATGACTCGCAATCAAGTAAGACGGTGGCAGCGGATGAAAACTGAGTTAAAGAGAATGGAAGAAAAATATTCAGCTCCACAGCCAGGGAAGGTGACTTTGCTTAGGAGAGAACCTATCAAGCAAGATTCAAAAAGTGATCCGAAAGGAAAATCCAAGGAAGATAGTGCAGACGGAAATGGATGCACTGAAGAGAAATGTGCGTCTTCCTCCATGAAAGAAGCTGAAGATGAAGCAGGATTTGGTGATGACGAACTCGACCTGGATAACCAGGATGATGGTTCAAAAGGTATCAAATTTGGTTCATTTGAAGGAATTGTGAATTGCAATATGGTTCTTACCTTGCCTCATATTTTTGAGGCTAAGCCTGATCAACCCTCCGCCATGGAGAGAGACGTCGAGGTGATAGATGATGAAGGCCAGGAAGTTCCGGAGATTATTGAGAACCCATTTGAGTCGATCACCGAAGACAAGAAACAGAAAGTCGTTGTGATAAGAGCTAAACCACGAGATGATGAATCAGTGACTATTAGGAGAGATCAGGCGGCTAGGGTGATTTTTGAGAAGCCTTCTGCGGCAATGTCTCAACACTTGAAACCACTCTATATCAGAGTGTTCCTAGAAGGGATGCCAGTGTCTCGGGCACTGATAGATAATGGATCTGCAGTTAATATCCTTCCGATGAACACCATGAGGTTGCTGCAAAAAATGGAAGATGACTTGATTCCCACTGACTTGACAGTCAGTAATTTCACGGGGGGCAGAGCCAGGACCAGAGGGGTAGTCACCTTGGAAATGACAGTTGGAAGATGTAAGACCATGACTGCATTCTTCGTGGTTGACGCAGGGGCAGCTTACAACGCTTTGATTGGGCGTGATTGGTTACACCCACATTTCTGCATCCCTTCTACCCTCCACCAGTTTATGATTTTCTGGGATGGGGATGAAATCCAAGTCATATGGGGAGATAATAAGCCTTTCGAAGCTCGGGTCCATGTGGCTGATGCAGTTTTATATGAGGAGAAAATGGGTCCTGTGAGGCTTATTGGTTGTGACAAGTATGGCAAGCCTGAGAAGGCGACGATGAGGAAAAATCTGACAGACGGGGACTTATCCGATTTATTCAAGGAACTATTGAGGCCAAGTGTTATCTGCGAGCCAAGGCCGATAGTTGAAGTTGATGAACAACAGGTTGTTAATGGACCAAGCCCAAAAGGAGAAGGAGAAAATGCTAGTATTTAAAGCTAGCATGGCACGGCTGAGAGCATATCTCACCGAAAGACGGGCAATGTTGTGGAGTGATATGTCGGCCAATATGGCCGAAATCATAGAAGAAGGTGAGTCAGGGGATCGTCGAGATGTTATTCGGCTAGAAGAGCTAGATGCAGCCCCAGCTAAGCTAGAGGATCTGAAAGCCGATGTTCAGGATCCCTTGTTGGAGATCAATTTAGGAGCAAAAGAAGAGCCTCGGCCAACCTACATAAGTGATCTTCTAGAACCTGACTTTAAAGCTGAACTGATCTTGTTGCTTAGAGAATATAAGGATTGTTTTGCTTAGAATTACACTGAGATGCCGGGATTACTAAGGCAGCTAGTCGAGCATCGACTACCTATAAAAGAAGGTTTTAGACCGTTCAAGCAAGCGCCTAGACGTATGTCAACAGAAGTGACTATGAAAGTGAAGGAGGAAATTGAGAGGTTGCTCAAAGCAGGATTCATCCGGACCACAAGGTATTGTGACTGGTTATCCAATATCGTTCCCGTGGTTAAGAAGAATGGAAAGATTAGGGTGTGCGTAGATTTCAGGAATTTAAATTTAGCTACTCCAAAAGATGAGTATCCTATGCCCATGGCCGATCAATTGATTGATGCGGCCGCCAAGAATGAGATTCTGTCATTCATGGACGGTCACTCAGGATACAACCAGATATTCATAGCAGAGGATGATGTTAACAAAACAGCATTTAGATGTCCGGGAGCCATAGGCACTTTCGAATGGGTGGTGATGCCCTTTGGTTTGAAGAATGCCGGAGCCACTTATCAACGAGCTATGAATGCAATCTTCCATGACGTGATTGGGAAATTTATGTAAGTATACATTGACGACGTCGTGGTGAAATCAGCGACAAAGGTGAAACATCTGGCCGACTTGAGGAGATCATTTGAGAGAATGAGAACCCATGGTTTGAAGATGAACCCGCTTAAATGCGCCTTTGGAGTGACAGCAGGGAACTTTCTAGGGTTCTTGGTGCATCGGAGGGGTATCGAGATCGACAAGAATAAAGCTAGGGCGATCATCGACGCTCAACCACCTCGCAACAAGAAGGAGTTACAAAGACTGATTGGTCAAATCACATACTTGGGAAGGTTTATTTCAAACCGTGCTGGAAAGATCCATACCTTTTCTCCGCTCTTAAAGCTCAAATCAGAGGAAGATTTTCGATGGGAAAAACATCACCAACATGTGTTTGAATCAATCAAGGAATATCTTGCTAACCCTCCTGTCCTTATGCCACCTAAGAAGAAACAGCCGCTGAAGTTATATATTTCAGCCGCGGATGAGTCAATCGGAAGTTTGTTAGCCCAGGATAATAAAGTAGGGAAAGAACAGGCGGTGTATTACCTTAGTCGTATTTTGACACCGGTTGAGCGTCGATATACGCCAATCGAAAAAATGTGTCTTGCTTTGTATTTTGCTGCTCACAAATTGAGAATATATATGCTACCTGTTTTAGTTTATGTGATTTGTGCCACTGACTTAATTAAGTAAATGCTTTCTCGTCCAATAATTTCTGGACGAATAGGCAAGTGGTCCTTGGCCCTTATGGAATTCAATTTCCAATATGTGCCTCAAAGGGCCGTGAAGGGCCAAGCACTTGCTGATTTCCTAGCTGACCATCCATGCTTGGATGTTGATCCGGGAGTCTATGATGCAATGGAGTTATGTGCTATTTAACTAACTCCTTGGACTCTAATTTTTGACGGATCCAGCGCAAATGATGTCGGGGGAGCTGGAGTTGTAATAATTGCACCAAATGGCAGGAAAACAACATATTCTTTCTTTCTAGATTTCAAATGTTCTAACAATCAAGCAGAATATGAAGCTCTGATTATTGGTCTTGAAATACTCTTAGAGATGGGGGCACAGACCGTTGAAATCATAGGTGATTCAAGTCTGGTGATCGGTCAGTTGTCCAGCAATTTCAGGTGCCAAAGTTGGCACCTCAAACCATTCCACTCTATAGCCATGCAATTACTACAAGAATTTGCAGAGGTAAAGGTCAAGCATGTTTATAGATTGCATAATAAAGAGGCCAATGATTTGGCTCAAATAGCATCTGGCGTTAAGGTGCCAGAAGGAATAATGGAGAATTTGATCAGAATAAAGAGAAGGTCATTACTCTCAGTTAAGGCGAGGGAAGAATTGTTGGCAGAGGTCTTTGCAATCGAGGTGGAAGACGATATGGAAGAGAATGATTGGAGAACACCGATCGTCGATTTTCTCAAAAATCTAGACCCTAAGGCTGACAAGAAGCTAAAGATCAAAGCTCTTAAGTTTGTGATGATTGATGGAAACCTATTCAGAAAAAGCATCAAAGATGACCTACTCTTAAGGTGTGTCAGTAAGAAAGAAGCCATGAAAGTAATGGGAGAGACCCATGAAGGGATATGTGGTGCTCACCAAGCTGGAATAAAAATGAAGTGGCTGATTAGAAGGTACGCTTATTACTGGCCCGGGATGCTTAAAGATTGTATCACATACGCCAAAGGATGTCAAGCGTGTCAAAGGCATGGGCTAATCCATAGAGCCTCGGCGATTGAATTACAACCAATCATAAAACCATGGCCTTTTAGAGGCTGGGCTATGGATTTGATAGGGAAAGTTTATCCACCTTCTTCTAAACAACATTGTTTTATCATTGTGGCAACTGACTACTTTACCAAGTGGGTCAAAGCGGTGCCCATGAAGTCAGTGCACCAAGAAGATGTGATTCGGTTTATCAAACAACATGTTATTCATAGATTTGGGATCCCAGAATCAATCACAACTGATCGAGGTTCAGCCCTTGTCGCCCAAGAAGTGTAGGCATTTGCAGCAGAGTACGGGATCAAGCTCCTAAACTCAACCCCTCACTTTGCACAAGGAAATGGTCAAGCCGAGTCGTCTAATAAGACGCTAAAAGGCATCATTGAAAAAATGGTGGAAGATAACCCTAGGGTGTGGCATGAACTGTTATCAGAAGCACTTTGGGCATATAGGACTTCTCAACGGTCAAGCACAGGTGTGACTCCATTCACGCTCACTTATGGTCATGATGCAGTTTTGCCTATGGAAGTGACTGTGCGGTCAATGAGATTCGCATTGCAAAACAATTTGACCCCTGCTGAATATAATGAGTCTATGTTGATCGAATTGGAGGACCTAGACGAAGTAAGGTTAAGGGCTCTTGACCACATACAAGTTCAGAAAAGGCGAGTAGCAAGGGCATATAACAAGCGTGTTAGGGCCAAAATCTTCGGTGAAGGTGACTTGGTTTGGAAGACTGTCTTCCCAATGGGTGTGAATGATCGAAAATATGGAAAATGGTCACCAAATTGGGAAGGTCCATTTATGGTTTACAAAGTCTTAAAAGGAGGCGCATATCATTTGCAAGATCTTGACGGGGAAATACACCCTCGATCGATTAATGGCCGATACTTAAAAACTTATTATCCTACAATGTGGGAGACAATGGAGAATAAAACCAAAGATGGTTAAATAACTAGAAGCCATAGAGACATGCATTTCATTCATTGTTTTCATTGAGTACAAAAGTTTATAAGAGTCATTACCTATCATTTTCTTTGTAGATAAACAAAATGACTCCTAAGCTCATCCCACTCTTTCTTAGACATGGCCATTTTTTCATCTTCTTTGGCCTTCTCAGTCCTCAGTCGAGGAATTTCTTTTGAGACCGATTCTCTCTGCTGATCAATTTCCACATTCTTTTGATAAATCTCCTTCATCTGAATAGTGAGTCCTTCTCTTGACCGGGCAGTTCCAGTCAATTCCATCTTGAGACGTTCTATCTCCCGTTCGATCTCTGCTGCTCTCTGGTTTTCCTTAACATGAGTTAATTTTAAGGCCCGAAAATGGGAAACATTGTCTTTCTCTTGTTGAATCAAAGATTCTTGCTCCTACAGCTTTTCATGGATCGTAGACGACAGCTCACCAGCCTTCTGAGAGGAGAGCTGAAAATCAGAGACGAGAGTCGGGAATCGACTCTGGACAGATTGAAGATGGTTTATCTGTTCTTGACTTAAGTCATGATGATCTATCAAGACGGACATGGCATCAGTCACATCAGCAGCCAAACTTGGCATCTCAGAGAGGTCTCGGGACACGACGGCGACTAGTAATCTTTTTGCCCCCTCAATATCTGGCAGACGACTGGAAGACGTAGGCACAACAACTGGCTCACTCATCAAGGGATCTAGATCAAACCCAGCCGCTATCTCGGAAAAGTAGACATCAAAGTCATCGATCGTGCTATAAGTGTGAAGGGGCGGTTGGGACTGAGAATTTGAGCCAGCCTATGAATGAAAGGAATTTAGTAAAACAAGTCAAGGCTTGAATGAGAGAATAAGTCATAAATACTCACACCAACTGGTGAAGGCCGAGTCACGTGGCCAAAGGTGCGTCTGGTAGCAAACGCTGGTGCAGAGTAAGGGCTTGGAACTCTTGGTTGTGTGCCCGGGGCAACCTGCAAGAGAAGAATGTTTTTGAATGCCTAACTTTGATAAAGATATACGGGAGATGTACTGAAAGATCATCTTGAAAATCACCTCAGCCCCATCAAACTGATGAAAAACAGTGTTTGGTTGAGTAGTGGCTTGTTGACACTCGACTCCACTAGTGCGAGGGTGATCAGCATTCGCAATGTCATCACAAATGTTGATCCTATCTCTTGACAACGACCTAGCCGAGTGTGAGGAAACCTGTCCGTAAAGATGCCATGAGAATCGGCAAGGTACATTGATACTGGAGTAAAAACAAAGCCTAGTTACCTCACGGCTGGTAGAGATATTTGTCTCAACTGAGAAAGTCGATGGCATCAAGGGGTCAGGATTTTCTTCCTCCTCTTCATCGATCAAAGGCAAAGGGTTGGTGGTCCTGACTGAGGTAACCTGTTTTTTTCCTTTCCCTGCCCTGATCACCTGGAATACCATTGAGGTTAAAAAAGGGGTATATAGGTGGTACATATAAGTAAGCTAAAGTTCTAAGAGATTATGCTTTAAAGAATTCATAAGGAAAACCTTAGGCCTCTTGGGGGGCACCACGTTTTCCTCGTCAGCCTCAGGCATTTCCGCCTCATGATCAGAAACTCCCAATGGGTTATAGAAGTCAACAGCTGCATAAAAGAAAAGATGTTTTTATGATCTAAAGCATAGAACTTCGTATTTATATATATGTAAGTATGAGTGTGTACCTTCTTTGGACGACTTTGATTTTTTCGTCCTGCTGGGAGAACCAGGATTAGCTACACTGATCCCCTTTGATGGCTTGGTCGAGGCTCCTTGGGGTTTAATAAAAATGGAGGCAATCCTATTTGTTATAGTGCGAGAATCCTCCACCATAACCTCCGCAATATGGTTTCCCCACCAGTAGTCAAAGGATGGAGAAGTATCAGGATTTTCCAGAAATGGCTACAAAGAGAATTTGTTACAGAGACGGTTGAACCTGGGAGGATACTCTATCCACCGTTTCTTTTAAGGTGAAGACTACTCGTTCCAAGAAAGAAGTATTGAAAGATCGAAAAGGCGGAAGTGGAACGAGTTGGGTGAGACCAAATTGTCTAGCAAATTGTGGGGGATTGTAATACTCCACCCCACACTTACTATTTGGAGAGCCCATTCTTGAACATCCATAAGAGATGTCCCTAGCAATTAAGTAACTGGCCCAGGTTTGTGTATGTTCGTCTTGGCAACTCGGTGGAGCCTGGGCAGGGGGATAGGAAAGCCACAAAGGTCGCCTTGGTCTAGGAGAGAATGGCAAGAAAAGATGACTGGCCCGATATGCAGGGAGTTTGTAAAAGAAGGAGAACATGGTTTTGAACGATCTTTTTCCTGGTTGAATATGTGCATAATGATAGCCGGGAACAGGAACAGCGGTCGACAAGTCGAGATCGGGGTAAAGCTCAGGGAAATATGCGTATTCCCAAAGTTGTAATAGCCAGAATGGCCCAAAACAGGTTTTGAAGTTGGAAGCAACATATTCCCCGATGCCACGGTAAAGATAAGAAAGCAAAAAGGAGCGAGAGCAAGTTTCTCGCCCGAGTGAAGAGCAAGGGCCAATTGAGTAAATTCCTTAGTGACTGTGAGCGAAGAAACGCAAAATAAGAACCTGTTCAGCCAGTACACCAAGAAAGAAATATGCTCGGCGATGGAAACCGAAGTTCATTTACCTTTGCTGGCTTTAATAAAAGGGCCATGGGTAGTAATGCGCTCAGAAGCGTCAGGTTTCTTTGGATATTCATAAGCTACTTCAGGAACGGTGAGAAGTGAATTTATTTCCGTACCATGGGGCCTAAGCCCGGTAAGAAAACAGATATCTTGCACCGTCGGACCAATCATACCACACCGAAGATGGAAGGCATTGGTGGAATTCGACCAGAAAAAGAGTAATGAGACGAGAGCCTCCTTATTGATAGAGATTCGATTTTTTGAAAGAATGATGGCATCATAAATGCCGACCTCCTTCCATAATGCTCCGTAGTGAGGTTCGACCCGATCGACCCAATCAATCCAGTCACTTTGAGGGATCGGGCAATTTTTGAAAAGGTAGGAAGAATCCACAAGATTAGAGAACTCGTGCTGAAATGGGAGTTGCTCCTCAGCTAAGGGACAGTAGGGAAGAAGTGAGGTTGGTGGACTATCTCTGAAGGCTGGAGCAAGGCCGATTCTAGGTAAGGAATCAGCACCTAAGACACTGGCTAACACTTCACTAGTGCTGAAAATATCTGTAGCGATGATCTCGTTGACGAGTTTTTGAACAATCCCGGCTTGACTGGAAGATTTGTTACTAGCCGAAATTGACGTATTCTCAGCAACGATCGTTACATTTTTATTACCACCCATCACCAAGATTCTGAAGGACAGAAAATAAAGCTGTGTTCTCTACGATGAAGCTTTATTAAGAAGAAATGGTCTTTAAAGTGCGCTGGATATGTTTCTTGATTGTGGGATAAGACGAGCTAACATTCTGCTGTGCAGTTTTTTTTTTAATTTGAAAAAAAACATGCAACTATCAGGTAAATTTCACAGAGATGTTCTGCAATTTTTGTGGCGAAGCTACAGAGGGTTTTGTTGGATATGGTGTTGACAATGCTTGGTAGAGGCAAGCGTTATATATATAGAGCAATTAGCTAGGCTTAGCTGGTGAAATACTGTACCCAATGAAAACGCCATAGGATTATGAATGTACTTGGAGCCGCTTAAAAACAGGCTAGCTTAAAAATCCAAGGATATATAAAGAATAAATTCAGGTATTAGAAATCAACGTGTCAGCAAATGAGATTTATTATACATCCTTAAGCCACAGGGTAATGTGTTCTTCACTTGAGTGCAACCCGTATCTATTGACATGTTATTGAGCACATGGTTTTGGGGTTTGTTTCTCTCTTGTCTTGTCAAGTTAAATTGCAGATAAAGACGTACGTTAAGCTCCAAATCCATTTGTTCTGACAATAAAGTGGTTGTGCTTTGTACAGAGCTAATAGAAATATATATATATATATATATATATATATGTGCATATTTATATTCGCACATGTTTATATTTACAAGAGGCCACGTTTAGTTGAAGTACACCAACCATGTCTGCATTGGTTGCGTGTTGTACATAACTATATCTAAAAAGATATGCATTGAGCTCCCAAACAGCCAGCCTTCAAGATGAAACAACAAGGTTCATTCACGTGCTTAATTAAGCATATGTCAGTACTTATTTTGACTTACAACTTAAGCTATGGCCCAATACCCATTTGAAAAATGGGTTTGCATGAGATGTGTTGCATGATGTATATGTAAATATATTTATATGTATATATGCATGTCTCTGCAAGTTAGCTAGAGAGAGAAAACAAGCTTAGCTAGAGAGACACGGATTATAGAGAGAGAAGTTGTAGAGAGATAAAATGTAGAAGGATTTGAGCGAAGGAGCATCCGATCAACACGGCGGCCGGAAGCAGGACTACGTCGACCCACCACCGGCACCGCTGATCGACATGGCGGAGCTGAAGACGTGGTCCTTCTACAGAGCCCTGATCGCCGAGTTCATTGCCACCCTCCTCTTCCTCTACGTCACCGTGGCCACCGTCATCGGCCACAAGAAGCAGGGCTGCCCATGCGACGGCGTTAGCTTCCACGGCATCTCTTGAGTTCTTCGGCAACATGACCTTTATCCGTCGAAGAGAATGACGGTTGCAATGGAACTCGCATGTTTTTCCAGCGGCGAGTCCATCCACGGTGATAGGATCGGCGGCAGTGACTTCATGACGAAGATGACCGGTGCGACAATCTCTTCATGGCTGTTCTCGTCGTCACCATCCTCTTTCTCTACGTCACCGGCGCCATCATCATCGGTCACAAGAAGCGGAGCAGCCCATGCGACGGCGTTAGCTTCCACGGCATCTCTTGAGTTTTTCGGCGGCACGTAACTGCATGAAGAAAAGAAAGTAGCCCGCGGTGGCATCGTCGACGAAAAACGAGCCGACTTTACACGATGAAGGAGGTCGTCGAACCAATTTGGGTTGCATGTCGACGAAGGTGACAGCGTTGGATTACTCATTTGTCATCTCAAAGCAATTGTTAAATGTATATATATACACACATATAAATATGTATATATATATATATATATATATATGAACCTTCGTGATCAAGATTCTTGGTCCATAGCAGATTCGGTTAAGCAAACGGGTTGAAGCTCACTGAAACCCAAAACCGCGAGGAGCCAGACAAGAAGTTTGGAAATGGTTTGAACGTGATTATCGCCATTTGCAAGTTTGATGACAACAAAGGTGGCTGCTGTAGTTATTGTAACAGAAGATGGGCGATGACGGTGAGGGTGACAACGTTGTGCTTGCATGGAGACCTGCATGTTTTTCTCCGGTGGCAAATCTATCCACGGTGATAGGTTCGGCAGCGGTGACTTCATGAAGAAGATAATCGATGCGACAATCTCTCTACGGCCGACGTAGTTCCTGGGCAAACTCATTACAGCGCTTTGCGATACGAAGGTTCGTAAATCACAGGCCCATCGCTGGTAGAGTCTACCATGCAGTTTGCAGAAGCTCACAGCCGTCATATATATATATGTGTGTGTGTGTGTGTGTGTGTGTGTGTTCGTTGTTGCTTGGGCTTGACGAGGTCCCGACACTCACATGAGTCAGTTTTGAAGCCCACCCGAAACCCAAAACTATTGGGTATGAATGATGGACAAAGGTGGGAACACCATCTCCAACACTATGAAATAAACCTGGAATCCATGGTCAAATCGGAAGAGGGCGTAACAACTCTTGGTGTGATATACATGGAACCTGGTATATATATGTATATGTATATATGTATACATATACGTATACATATGTATGTATCAGATTTTAATTTCATTAGGGATTAGGGGCTGTTAAAAGGTGCAACACTGCAACATCATGTGATTTTATGGTGCTATTTGTTTTGAATGAATTCTCTCTCTAAGAATGTTCTTTAGCTGCTGTTATGTTCTGTTTCGGTTGTTTCTTTTGAAGCTTGAGCAAGTTGGAAGCTTCAAAATGGCCAAGGTATAAATGGCCATGGCAAAGAGATGATACACAGTTCTCTTCAGGTTAATAAATGGTTTTGGTTATCCATACATTGAAGGCAAAAAATTGGCTTTGACTGGTCCCAGGCTAAACATAAAAACTGGCCAAAATAAATACAACTCTACGAAAATTTGGTATGAACCCATTTTCATAGAGTTGGGGGGCAGTTGTTAACACCTAAAATATAATTCGAAACAATCATGCCACGTGGTCAGAAATCATGAAGTCTGACCTGGCGAGAGATTAATTTCTAATCATGGCGATCCGATTTAAGGCTGAGAATGAAGAAGAGTGGAATTTTTTGGGCCATTAAGACTGATATGAGGTTTTGAGCCCATAACCGGCCATGATTGAGAGTCTCAGTCACTATGGTTATGACTCCCAGTCTCAATGGTCATGATCATGAGTCTTAGGCCAAAACCTTCTCGGTCATCCTGATCATGAGAGTCTCAGTTATCATGATCATAAGTCTTAGGCCAAAACCTTCTCAGTCATCATGGTTATGAGAGTCTCAGTCTCATGGTCGTAAGTTTTAAGCCAAAATCTTCTCAGTCACTATGGCTATGACTCCCAGTCTCAATGGTCATGATCATGAGTCTTAGGCCAAAACCTTCTCGGTCATCCTGGTCATGAGAGTCTCAGTCATCATGATCATAAGTCTTAGGCCAAAACCTTCTCAGTCATCTTGGTCATGAGAGTCTCAGTCTCATGGTCGTAAGTTTTAGGCCAAAATCTTCTTAGTCACTATGGCTATGACTCCCAGTCTCAATGGTCATGATCATGAGTCTTAAGCCAAAACCTTCTCAGTCACTATGGTCATGATCATAAGTTTTAGGCCAAAATACTCTCAGTCACAACTTTCTCAATCACAACGGTCATAGTCAGGAGACCCTCAGTCATAATGGCCATGATTATGAATCTTAACCAAGATTTCTAGTCACTATGGCCATGATCAAGACTTATGACCAAATATGGCCATGATCAAGACTTATGACCAAATATGGTCATGATCAGGGGTCTCGGGTCATAATCACTTGAGGAATCTTTGGGGTAATTCAAATAAAGACCGATTGTGAATCCCAATGTTTCGAGAACCCAACAAGTCAGGTCTAGAAGTTTGAGGAAAGCTTGAAATAGAAAAGGACAACTTGACAATGTCAGAAGTTCAGAACTACAGATGGAAGGTTCTCACCAACATCTGATGAGGAAAGTCAGGATTGTCAGTAATCAGATGACTCCAGGCTAATGTACAAATCAAGCCAGACATGACAGGTGCAGAGAGCTGAAAATGGCTTGAAGACCAAAATCATCAAGCATGAAAGAATAGGCACCATTTAGTCAAAAATACCATGTCAGACATACTTGTATCTGCCTATAGAGGGATGTGCAAGTTAGTCAACCTTTCCAACTGGTGGTTAGGAAAAGTCACTTTCAGCTTACAACCAATCAATTTCTAGAGAAACGGTTGAAAGGGACAACACCAGGTGGAAGCCTCTATAAATACCCACTCAAGCATCACAAGGAAGAGGTCCAAGACCATTTCTAAAGTTCAACCTTTAGCATTCCTATCATTTAGCACTTAGCTTTTATTTCATCAAGCTCAGTTTAACACTTAGCTTTTATTTCAGCAAGTTTAGCTTAACACTATCAGTTTAGTACTTAGTTCATCTTCCAGCATTTAATACTTTAGTTTCCATTTCAATCAAGAGTTTGTAATTCATTCATCATTGTAATCAGTCAAGTTCAATGAAAAAAGGTTTACAGATTCAGGTATATTTATTGTCCAGTTAAGTTGCTTCTAATTCATGTTTATCTTGAGTGTTTAAAGTCCTTTCTTAAAGGCAATAGCAACCTTAAGGAGAGGGTCATTCCTACTCTCCAACTTTCGCCTGAATCACCTTAGGTCGGTGACCCGACCCGATAGGAATAGTTTGGCAAGAAATATTCGAGTCCATCAGGACTCTGGCACGCCCGCGTTCTAGGTCAGCCGTTCATTGGCTAGCGACCTCAGATCACTTTGTGAGCCAATAGAAGAAGAATATATAATTATTAATCTAGTACCATGTCACCCGTCCGGACGGGCACCCGGTAGGATGTAGCACCGGCTTACACCAATGCAAATCCAAATCGCTTTAAACCGGTCCAGCACCTCCCTGCCCGAATTTTTGCACCCGAACCACAAAGACGACGTTGGGTCCTTTACAAGTAAAATAGGAGTATTTTAGTACGTGATACAAAAACATCGGAAGCTTCCCTCTCCATTCTCTCTCCTCTCTCTATGAATCAGACATTCAGAATCTTCCTTCCTGTTCCTTTATTCGGGAACGAAACCAAAACTCCCCACTTCTAACCCTAATCCTAAACCTAGAAAATGAATACGCCGTACCAGCCAAAACCTTCAAATCACAACGAAGAAGACGACCGCAATCGTCGACTATACAGCCCTTACCAGGATCTCCAAGTCCCAATCCAAACCCTATATAAGCTTCCGACCTCGCCGGAGTTCCTCTTCCAAGAGGAGTCCGTCGTTCAACGCCGTTCATGGGGCGAGAACCTCACGTACTACACCGGTATCGGTTACCTATCCGGAGCAGTGGCCGGCGCTGGGAAGGGTCTAGTCGACGGCGTCAAGGCGTCGGAGCCCGGGGACACCGCGAAACTCCGGGTCAATCGGATCCTGAACGCGTCGGGACAAACGGGTCGGGTGTTCGGCAATCGGTTTGGGATTCTCGGGTTGTTATATGCGGGGATGGAGAGTGGAATGGTGGCGGTGAGGGACACGGACGACGTGGTGAATAGTGTGGTGGCGGGGTTAGGGACCGGAGCTCTTTATAGGGCGGCGGCTGGGCTGAGGTCCGCGGCGGTGGCCGGGGCGATTGGGGGCGTGGTGGTTGGGTTGGCGGTGGCCGGGAAGCAAGCGGCGAAGAGATACGTGCCGATCTGAGGAGCTTGGGTTTGTGGCTCTATAATCTATGCTTTAAATTAATTTGTTCCAAAATTTGATATGTTGAGATATGAAAGACGTTCATTGCTGTCTGTTGCAACTATGTTCAGCATGAATGATTAATGCTTTATTATATATATATATATATCTCAATTTATATGCTGATGAACTTCGTAGATGATGTATGTGATGAATAATTTATTACAACGATGACATGGGAATAGCATCATAGATGTGATATGATCAGGGTTATAGTGAGAGACTTGATGAAGTACTCTTATTTTGTATGTTCAGATCAATGGTTTAGCGGTGCAAGTTTAGCTTTATTATCAAATCTCAATTATGATATTATTTTTATGCTTATTTTGTCTTCTTAATCTTTCAATGGATCGTGCAAAGTTCAAAATCGTACAGTATCTCACTCCAGTAGATCAAGTAGATCAAGAATGCTGTCAAAGTGATGCTTTTGTTGTGTTGGAAAAGTTGATGTTTTGATGGTAAGATGCTAAAGAGAATGGCTAGTGTGAGGTTATGATTCTTCCCTGGAAATTTTTGTCCCCTCCATTGGGGTAGAATACCTGTATACTAAGATATGTAGGTTTAGTCCAAATAACAGAGTAATATTTATTAGTATTAGTGTTTCTCTCTAGTCTCTATAACCTTTGTTGAAAAATTTCTGCCTTTATAGGGATCTCAATGAATATTGTGAATTGTACTGGAGAAACGGAATGCCGTGCTGGAGAAATGGAATGCCTTGCATTCAAGGTAATTTTTCCATCGGTGATCTTTGTGAATGTGGAGACCCCAGTAGGCAATGGCGCCACCCCCCACCGGACGTCCTTCCCTTTTTGAAGATCAATTCCCCCTTCAAACACTCAAATCTAATGAATTTAATGACTGCTTCTTGAAAACTCAAGACAATTGGAATAGGAAGATTAATGTCAACTTTGAAGACAATAACAAAGCAAATGCTACTAAGGTGGATTTGAGTGCTATCTTGATAATATAAAAAGAAGAGCATGAGTTTGGAGTTTTTTCATTGTGGAAGGAAAATGATATAGTTGGACAAAATAAGGGGTGAGGTTTTTGGAGGCTGCTTGTGAGTGCTGTAAAGGAAGTTGTTGTCTTGCTATGGACGTTGAATATTTAATGGTTTTGGGTGCCTAGAATATTCGAACTTTAACAAGCTACAATATTGATAAGAGGAGATGCATTATACTACTAGAGTTCATTTGGAGTTACCCTTGGCTGATAACTTGAGTGGTATCTCCTACCACCCCTAAAGAGGGAGGTGCATGTCTTAGTTCTCGGTTGGGACAAGGGTGAGTGGGTGTCATGAAGAAATGTTTGTTAGAAATCCATTGACACCATGTACTTATTTGATAGCTTAATTTCTTCTCTTGCTAGGTTTCTCTAAAGCTCTTCCTAAATTTGTTGTTTTTGCTTTCCTCCATGTTTTTACATATTTGTTGTTTGAAGATGAAATCTATTCCTCACTTTTTTCAGTCATTATTTTCTACCAATGAAGGCTCTTTTTGCATGCCTTGCAGTTGTGATAATGGACTGAACTGTGTTAGAGTTGATCGAATATAATGCCATAGCTGGTTCTTGGTTAGCGAGTTTGTGGTGAAGCAATATTCAGCTCTAAATAATAGAAGTGTAACGTTAAACCACAAGAATACCGTGTTGAATTTGATTGGTTGAGATTATAGAAGACAAAGTTGAATAAAAATGAATTTTTGTGATTTAATGGGGACTTTTGATGTGCTCTTGTGATAATGTATGGTTTGAGTATGTACTTAACATAGGATGTTCCTTTTGTTGCGATCATATGGATGTTGCTATCACTACAGGTATATAGACTTCATTCCAGCTTTCAGTATTGATGAATTTTGACTTGCGAATTTTTGTTCAGATGGGGGAGTATGTACTTTGAGTTATGAATTATATTTATTGTAGGGTGATGATATATAAACAGTGGTGGACAGACTGAGCAGTCTTGTGTGGAGGGCCATTAGCTGGTGCAATTGTGAAAGCTCAAAATATCAAGTGTGACAATGTAGGTTCGAGTTTAAGAGCAACCACTTTGTGGCCCTTAGGCTTTGTGCTTTTCATTTGACATTTTTTTTTTTAATGTATAATGCAATTGCCATAGTATGCAACTTTCTTGGAAGGCTGACAGTTTTCTTCTAATGAAAAGGGCCATTACACACCAAATTTTGCTGAGCTATCGAGTTGATTGTAATGGCTGTAGATGGAGATTAACCTGTAATTTATTGTTATCGGTCAACTTCTTATGGTTTTTAAACTCGTTCGTTTTCTTACAGTAAAGTGTGCGTGCAGTTTTTTAGTTAATTGCATTGAATGGAATATCTGATCAAATTATAAGATGTAGGTGTGCTCAGTATTTCTTCCTCTACGCATTGGTTATTTCTCACCTACCTTATACGGTTTTCTTAAAGTTATCTCGCAGTGAACAGTTGCAGCATTATGTACAACCAACAACATGGAAGGTTTACATTGCTGTTTGATGTAATTTCAGGGACAGAGTAGCTTGAAGCCTTGAAATGTAATTGCCAATTCAGGTTAGGGTGGGGTTGGGGTTCTTCATAATATATTATGAATCTCAAGTTGAGCTGTTGTTTGTTTAGGACTGATAATAGAACATCATCATAAATCATCCACTATAAATCTCATCATAAATCATCCACTATAAATATCCAGATACTCATCTAATGTTTGTAAATTTGATCACCAATGTGTAGGGGTGGCAATATGTTTTATAGCCCACTAACGCGTCCATATCCGCTTGCTTGTCCATATCCGCGTGCTTTTTAATGAATATGGATGAATCATACTAAAATGCAGGTTGAATGTGAGTGTCCATATATTTATAAAGGAATATTAGGTATGGATATGGATACCCATAGACCCAGATTTACCTCCTCTCTATTCGCAACCCCCCTCTCTCTCTCTAAAAAAATCTCTCACACCTTCCTGGGTACGGTCACTGATTTTTACTTTCTGGGCATGGCCATTGTGGACTTGAGCAATGCTACCTTTTGGATTTAAGCAAGACCTTTGTATGTAAATTAGAGAATACAAGTAAATAATAGTATTCCAAGAATTCAAGAACCAACTCAAATTGAAGTTTAGGTTTCGTTAATCAAACCAACTCAAATTGAAGTTTAGGTTTCGCTAATCAATTCTACCATAAGCACAGGAATAATTACTATGGCTAATATTATTTACCCCAAAACAAAACCAACTCTGTTATTTACCTAATTAATACATCACATGATAATTTTACCAAGTTGCAAAAATCAGTGCCGCACCTAATTACATCCCATGAATCGTCTTGAACAAAATTGTATAGTTATATGGTGAGAGGACTACATCTTAATGACAACATGGATTCCAAGTTTCTTCATCTTAAAATAAGACCCTAAATCAAGGCAATGTCCAACTTGAGTAAAATATTATAGGCTAATTAATTTTCTACATAGTAAAAAAAAAAAATTAAGAAAAAAGCAAAAAGCTTCATAAATCAACATATCTGTTATAAATTATTTAGCACTATAGGAACATGCAAAATAATTTGTTGATAATATTGCGTATTCATCATTTTTATAAATCAACATATCTATTAGTGGACTGATTTTATTTTATTTTATTTTTTATTTCACGCTATCAGTTTCTAATATATTTTTACAACAACAAAAAACATATCTACAACGAGTCGACAAGTCATAGCGGGTTGACACGGGAAGGGTTGAAAAAATGACTCAGCGCCAATGGAAGTCTGCATCTGGCTTGGATTTTTCTGTGGTGCTCTTACCTTAAGCCCTGCCCTTTCCAGGAAGCCGCCGACCATGAAGACATAGGAGGGTGAATAAGCCGGCTGTTCATGTCAATTAACAAAGAGGTTTTAACATTCAAGTTCACAACAGTGTAACTTGACATCGAAAACAACACATCCTGCAAATAAATTCTGAAATTCCACTTTGGTTTTTTTTTTTTTTTTATGCAATTAAGTTATGCGAAATGGGGACATTTCCTAATTGTCATTTCCAAGTATCACTGTAAGCTTAGAACCACATAACAGAGCAACAAATTTCTATATCTATTCACCTTGCAATGTGGAAAAGATCCTTTGTTTCGCTAAAATGTTTTTCAGCATACAATGGGTCTTTACACTCTACATGAGCAAAATTCAGTTCCACTGCCTCAAACCCCATTTTATTCTATTAACTATTTAAACCTTTTTTTCTCTCAAGTACACTAAGATGAGTGATAAATTCAAGCCAAGACATTCCAGAGCCCAGAAAAAATCAGTTTTATGTCACATTTGAGAGAAAAAAGATATTTGGAAAAAAAAAAAAAAAAGAAAAGAAAAAAGAAACATTATTGGACTTAGAGCAACATTGACTCTGGATTCTCAATGTAGCCTTTAAATGCTTTCAGCCATTCTGCACCAATTGCACCTAAACCAAGTACAAGTCAATTCATTAGGGTTTAATATCTCAAATTCGCTGTTAGACAGTGTTGGCTTAAGAGAGAGAACGTTTTCATGGATCAACTTACCATCAATAACACGGTGATCACAGCTCAATGTCACGGACATGAAGGAAGCAAACTTGAATTGCTCAGGGCCCAATCCAGGTATAGCCCTCTTCTCAGCTGTTCAAAATTTTTTAAAGACGATGGTGATCATGATTGTTTTAATTTTTTTTTTTTTTTCCTTTGGAGGGTTGGAGGGGGAGGGGAGGGAGAGGGAGAGGGAGAGGGAGAGGGGGAGAGAGAATAAAGTGGCAATCTTACCGGACCCAACTGCTAGAATGCCTGACTGAGGAGGATTAATTATAGCGCAAAATTGCTTGATGCCAAAGGGCCCTCCCAAATTTGACACAGTAAATGTGCCACCCTGTAATGAGGATGCTAAATGATGTACTGATACCATGAGACAATCAGCAACTGCAGATAAATGATAACATAAGACATAATTCTCACCTCATAGTCTTCTGGTTTCAAGCTGTTTTCCTTGGCCTTCTGGGCCAAATTCTTGACCTCCTCAGCAATCTTGGATAAACCTTTCTTATCAGCATCCTACACATCCCACAGTACAGTTTTGAGATATTAGCTACCATAAAAATAGAAATCTCCAAGCATATATATTATTCAATGGCATTAACTGGGACAATAAACTCACCTTGATGACAGGGACGAACAGCCCGTTGTCCGTTTGCACCGCGATATTGATGTTGACATTATGATACCTGGATTGTTTGCCATAGAAATGATGTCATAAAGTATGGTGTAGTTGAGTCAATTATAATGTCCACTATTGAATACTTACTGGCGAATATAATCATTGGTCCATGAACTATTGCACTGAGGAACTTTCCGAAGAGCCAAAGCAGCAGCCTGCCATAAAATTTAAATTTATCAGATCGAGAAACAGACCATTATAATGCATCAGCAGAACCAATCATAACACAAACATCCAAATAAGGGAGATGCTCAAAATCATCTCGTAGTTGTGCACCATTTTAATGACTACTGACATTTGGGGTTGGGGGACAGAATCACCCTAATCTCTTGGAGGGCAATTTACTACAAAGACTAAGTTTCTGATCTTTTGCAACCATTAATTAAACTATGCTCATAAGCAACTTGATTCAGAGACTCAGCAATACATTTCATTGTGCAAAGAGAATTTGATACCTTTATTACAAGATCGTTAATGGATATCCTCTTTCCACCTGAAGCTTCTATTAATAAATTTAGTTGGCTCCGCAAACTGCAGAAAGAGCAGCAATTCAGATCATCACAAAAGATTTGGTGGGATCATATCATTCAGAAGGTGGAAAGATACTCACTCCATAAGTTTGTCAACACATGTATCTACAGTTAAATAATAGTGGGGAATAGTTTGTTTTGATAATAACAATCGTGAAGCTGTCACCTGTGAAGATACACCAGGAATTAAATTTAGGAAGTAAAGCTTGATTATGCCAAAAAATAAAAAAGAGCAATATAAAATTCTAACATTAAATCTGAGATCTCATTAACTAAAGGAAGTTAGGCCCCTAAAGCTTGATTATGCCAAAAAATAAAAAAGAGCAATATAAAATTCTAACATTAAATCTGAGATCTCATTAACTAAAGGAAGTTAGGCCCCTATTGAGTAGATCAACATAAAAGAATTTGTACATCCAATGCCTCAATTGTTAGAATAAAGCTAGGATATGATGATGACAACAGGGAGTTTCAAATCTACCTTTCTTATCTGAGAATGAGGGATATCTTTGTAATCTAAAGATGCAGCTGTCATTGCATCAACCTTATGGGCTGCTGTTGAAACTTCTTTGCCATGAGAAGCTACATCAAAGAGAGGGAGAACCAGAAAATACGATGATATCAGCTGGATGACTATAATACATGTGAAAACAAAACAGCAGCATTAAGTCTTAAAACTAACAAATATAGCCCAGCATTAAACCCTCAATATACAAAATAGATGCAGAAGCAAAAAGTAATACCCAAGTAATCTTCAATATCAGCCTTCACAATGTGTCCACCAGGACCTGTTCCTTTAACGCTCGAGAGAGGTATCTATGTTCAAGGAAATGTATACATACATCAAATCATGCATTTACAGGCTCAACAATAATAGTTGTATCCTATCCAAGGTACTAAAACTGTTTCAACAAAAAACTTAAGTGGCAGCATCTTCTATAATTTACATTGTGATCTTCAGCCAATTTTCTTGCTAGAGGGCTAGCAAAAATGCGATCTCCTACAGGAGGAGCTGCCCTGTCCTTTGTAATTTTTGGCTCTGCTGAACTGACAGGTTCCTCAACTACTTTTTCTTTAGGTGGGGCGGAGACAGGGGGGGACTTAGCTGGAGGAGCAGTGCCTGATGTAGAAGGCTTGTAATCTTTAAATTTCGCAATATCCTCCTCATCTTCAACAGTTATGACAATCACCTATAGGCAAACATATATAAAGTTCCACCATTTCAAGATAGTACTCTCTCTCCAGTGAACAAAATAAAGAGTTACAAATAAAATAATTCACTTTAGGATATTCAATATAAAATATAAAATAAAATAAAAAAAAAACCTCTCCAGCCAATAAAAGAGAGAGTTACAAATAAGATAATTCATTTTAGGATATTCAATATAAAAAAAAAACTCTAATTCAAACAAGGTTTGACAAAATGTACCCCATCCCACTCCACTCCCTCCCTCCCTCCCCCCCCCCCCCACAAAATAAAAAAAAAAATGTCTCTATAGGGTGGCCAGAGAGCCATTTATTTCATTATAAGGTGGCCAGAGAGCCATTTATTTCATTCCACCAAATGTTGGGAAACAAGGTTTGACAAAATGTACCCCATCCCACTCCACTCCCTCCCTCCCTTCCCCACACCACCCCCCCCCCCCAACCCCAAAAAAAAAAAAAAAAAAAGTCTCTATAAGGTGGCCAGAGAGCTATTTATTTCATTCCACCAAATGTTGGGAAATCAGGAAACATGTCCACGCATTTGAGCAGAGCTAAATTAGGATTCCAGGATGGATGAGTGGCAAGACAAAGCTATGACTAGAATGAACACATTCATCTTAAGTTACATGACTCCAACAATTGAGGAAATGTCCAGAGCAGAAAGCTTGGTCATGTGCACAGTTTAGCAATGAAAGAACCACAAGGAATGACCAGTTCAATTTTAAAGTGCCTAGAAGGAAAAAGGAAAGCCAAAAAAGAATGCAGGTCACAGTTCTAGGAAAAGAAACCCTGACCTGTGTACATATAAAAGGTGTTCTATAAAATAAATAAATGAAAAAATTGTAACATTAAGTATAGTGTATCCACAATCAAGATTCACAAAGTCACACTAAAAGAGATTAGATAGAATTGATTACACAGTAGAAACAAAGCATCTTTGGCTAATTTAGTCACATTCTTTGACGGACAAAATATGAACCAAAGTTTCCTTATGATGTGGGGGGAAACTGTGATAGAAGACATGTGAGATGTGCCATGGGTAAAGGCCAAGATTTATTTCCTCTGTTCAGTCTACTTCATTTCAATTGTTAATAAAACAAAATTGTAGAAATGTGAAATAATGAGGACCGTACCAGACTTAATACCAGATAAAATCAGTACCTCACCAACTTTTATTTCTTTTTCTCCATCTCCACGTAATATTTTAGCAATATATCCTTCTTCCATGCATTCCATCTCAACAGTTGCTTTATCCTTCGATATTAAATGGCAAAAATGTAAAATATCAGTTAATTTGCCACATGAACAAACACTTTTATCAACTGCAAAAACAAAGACAAAGCAAGATCCCTACTGTTTCAACTTCACAGAGTACTTCACCAGGAGAAACTTTGTCACCCTCTTTTTTCAACCACCTTGCAATATTACCCTGCATTTCATTGGAGGAGAATTAGTACTTTGGAGAAAAACAGTAGATCTAGCATGGAACGTGCTCTCCTAAGCTTTGCAATGTTACATGCCTCTGACATTGTTGGTGAAAGAGAAGGCATCCCAATCTCCTGGTGTGGGGGAAGGCCTGCAAAATTTGACATAATCGTTGATTTGATGAGAAATTACATCATTATGAATTACAAGAACAAAGAAGATTTATTTGAACAAAAACTTAAATGACAAGAGGACCAAAGTTTGAAAAGGAAAGGAAAGGAAAATTTATGTGATTCACCAATAAAATAGATTGAGATACTTCACGACAATAACCAAACTGTGATACCAGTTCCTTGTTATTTGAATTGTAAACTTTGTTAATAACAGAGGAAGGTTTGAGAAAGAAATGGATCATAAAAGTAAAAAGAACATCATTACATATGGAGCAAGAAAATCGAAGAAATTCATCAACCAAACTTGCAACAGCTGGAGCAGTTCTATTATCAAATGCTAAGATGGTGACAAGGTCCTTTAGCCATGAAAAGAAACAGTTCATCCTACCCAACAACAATGCCCCCACAAACCCACAAAGTTCTAGACACTACCAGATCGAAGGCCTTGGAATAACAAAGTACTGCCAATTTTATGAAATGAGAGGGGTAAAAAATGTCATTCCTGCATTAGTATCTAGGAAACTATGACAAGCAGAACTGTAATTTGACAAGCAATCCCCCAAAAGATTTGACTATAATCCAATTATACATATGGTTTCAAGGGCAGTGGTGATTAGGGTGTTGTTTACAATGCAGCTGATAGGATTTGGTTTTTTCCAAATACTTTCAAGCTATTGTATAAACATATATATATATATATATAGAGAGAGAGAGAGAGATGTAAACCATCATGCTTTATTATAAATACATATGTCTAGTTTGAAAAGTACGATACAAATATCCTCGTGCAATGAGGAACCTGCACATCCTCCTCTGAGAGTGTCCGGTCACACTCAAACTTAAGATTGGTGGCGATATTTGTAACTATATATACATATACTTGTTAAGTATATATAAGCACATAAATGTATATAATGGAGAGACATGTAAAAATAAAGAGGGTGATGATGCAATATATTAGTCTTTATCGTCTGCAATGACAATGATTTAACCAGTCAAAACCATTTATTCCAATGTCATGTGAAATCTGCAAATTGCAATGGTGCTGGGTGCAGGTGAGCAACATGTGCTGCATCCATCTAACCCAAAACATGTTGAAGTGTTCAATTTTATTGTTCTATACACTCAGACATAATTGTCTAGGTAACATAGAGTAAACAATATTGGTGCTACAGCAAGCTTTGTTATTTAACACTACAAAGCTTTGGGAAATCATCCATCCTTTAATAGAACCTTTATAGTTTACGGAAAGCAAAATAAGATGACAAAATTTGATTCCAACATGATAAGCTACATGCCTAGATTCATTAGATTCAAGTGCTAACATAAACCACATCATGCAAAAGAAATAAAGATTTAATATTCAAATCTTATCAAGAAGACAAAAGGTATCCGATTGATTATATTTAAATGGCTATATCAATAAGACAGTTAATAGACAGACTCAAGTTGTTATATTTCCAGAATCACAAGATAAGAAAAACTATAAGTACAGAGCTTTAAATCAACAATGGTGTATAAGAACCAAATGGCATAATGAACTCCACCTGAATCTGTCGAATAACCTCTCACTGTGTCCACCTGTAAACTGATACCCAAGAACAAAACAAATCAGGTACGAGTAGATAAGAAAATTAGAGATTTAAAACAATCATACACAACTTACCATGAAAACACTTTGTGGAACACCAAGCCTGCTGTCGGCGTTTCCATTTTACTTGCCGTCCTCGAAACATTTTCATTCTGTATTCCTATCTACACAAAATGTTGCATTATAGTTAGCCTGCAACAATGATTCCTCAGTTTGGGTAATGAATATATCCCCACAACAAATAATGATGCAATGGATTAGACAAGTCTAAAGAATGCTGCCAAACAATGACAATGATGAAGAGGAAGAGTGGTGAAATCACCTTGACGATGGCAAGATTTGTTGCTCTATAGCTGCGAGTGCATCCAGTGGAAGACTTGCAAAACGCACGTCTCTCTCCAGGCATATTATCATATTGGCAAAACTTCAAATTATCTGGGAAATAACCAAAATGGTTAAGACCAAACGTAAACAAGGCTTAAAAACAAACAAGCATAAAAAACAACCAAGAATAGCAGTTATCATGCCAATTTGGATATATATTCAGAATATTAATACTATGAATAGTAGGTGATAATGTAGTCACTAACCAAAAATGAACATTGGTACGCCTTATATGCCAGATGAACCTGGTGAAAACATGAATTCGTGCAACGTTCCAATGGTCATCATAAGATATTAACTTAAGAAGCATGGAACAGGACATGTACACGATGGATACAAACACGTTGACACAGAAGATGTTAAAAAATGTAGGACATGAACATTGTGAGGACACAACAATAAAGCATATGTTTCTTATATATAAATTATATTATAAAAGAATATATATTCTATGACTATAACAAGAAATTATAGCTTATATATCATACAGTTACAATCACTCCTGTATCATATAGCACTACATAACATAGATAAAACATATATTTGGGTATATATGTGTATTGTATGTAAATAGGTTTATGTATATTTATGTAATTTAATGATTACTTTTCTGCTCCAAGCCCACTCCTTCAATAAACCTTTGCTATATCTTTTGTTTGTTGCATAAAGCCTTGATTTGAATTTTTTGCATTTATACTTTCTTGTATGCTAAAAGAAAATCCTTTTTTAACATTCAAGGTTCACTGGTCACATGTTATTTCATGTTCAAAAAGCATTGTAGTGTCTGAAATTAAGAATTTTATTTTTTTATTATGGAGACGTCCAAGATGTGAGGAACGTGTCTCTGGGAGTGTTTAATTAGTGTCGATATCCAACATGTTTCCGACACAACTCCTTAAATGCCTCCATGCTTCATACAGATGAACCTAAGGGAGCTCAAACTCTTCAATGCTGCAACCAGCAAGCATTCTCCTGACTCAAGGACTCAACAAATAATTTTTACAAGTAAAAGCCACCCCCAACGTTAATTTTAGGTTACTCTCTTTTTTTGTTTAAGGAATTATTTATCAAGAACATTTCATCTTCTTCATTTTGTTTTACAAAAAGATACCTCTAGTATTTATCCAATCAATAATTGGTAAAAGTACAATCTTCCAAAACTTTGGATTGGACTCTTCAACTAGTTATACCATGCACATAGAACCAAGAACTAGTTGGTCCCCTCACGGGGCAATTGAAAACAAAAGACTATGCCATTTAAGGTTGTTTATTTATTAAAGGTAAATTTTGTCCTCCTTGAGGATTAATAGGCCTCTTTGGTTGATCAGAGTTGTTTTAATGCATTCTTTAATTCTTTCTCTCTTTTTTTTTTTATTAGCATTTTCTCTTTGAGGAAGGATCTCTCTTTCTTCTCTCCTAATTATTCATTCCTTATAAAAATCTTGCCTCCTGTCAGGAAAGAAAAGAAAAAAATATCGTGTGGACATTAAAGATGAACATCATTTATAGACATAGATGGATATTAAACTTCATAAAACTAGATTTTAATTTCATCAAAATCAGCTAGATACAGAAAACTAGTTAATACAAAGTAGATGGAACAAATAGACATCTAACCTATAATAAACAAGAACGAGGATCAGATACTTACCTTCTCCTATATTAATAGAGGGGCGGACACCATTGGAAAACCAACGCACTAGGATGGCATGCTCTTGCCGTAGTAAGCTGGGAGCATTTCTAAACTGTAATTAAAATACAAAATATCATAATAAAATAATCTTAAAGCAAAAAGAAGGAAGGCGTAACACCAAGCAACATAAAATTCATAGATGTTGTGCTAGAATGGTGTCAAACAAATAGCATTGAGAAGCATACACAAAATCAAATGCGTGTGTGTGGTTATAAACCAACGCCAAAAATTCTATATATATATATATATATATATATATATATTTATTTATTTATTTATTTATTTGAAGGAACCCCTGCTTTACTTGTGATTGGCATTGTAACTACTGCATAGACACATGTCATCAGTTAGCAGGAGGTAGGGCATCATTTTGAAATTGACAACACAAAACCAGATGGAGCCTATAGACAATGAAGACCAACAACCAATGCCAACTTGGTTAACCTTAACTACATGCTTATACCAGGGTAATGAAAATTTGCAAAACTGAATATATTAATCAAATTAATGACTAACTATATATGATATTAAGTTAACTAGCAATTGAAAGTGGACACTACAAACCATGTGTGCAAAACGTTATTTATTAACACAAGCTGAACTGAATGAGACCTTCATGGACCAGTCGACCATAGACTCAACATTCAAGACTCAAAAACATGAATATCACCATGTCGTGTTACATATATTGTGATGCAAAAAATGCTTTTAAATTGAACAAATGGATGAATGTTCATTCGTGTGAGAATGCATAGATAAATGTGTGTGGATATGCAATTAAAGCTAACGGTTGTTGAAAATAGAATGTTGTTAATTATCTAAGATCTTATCCAAACGGGATAGCTGGGTTGGCATAAGGCCTGTTCTTGACATCATGTGTTCAAGTCATGGGGACATGAGAAAAAAACATCCTCCTTGGGTTTGTCAATACCATAGTTTGAGAGTGATTGCGGGTACTTGAAGGAAACAAACCCGCCCCAAAGGAGGGACAGCCTCCGTTATTCTCCCTGTTAGGTCAATAGGACTTATGTTGACGAATTTCATTGAGTTCAGATTTTTGTGAGGTTTTCTGTGAGTGCATATTTTTCTTTTACATTTACCATACTAAGTATTGGTGAGTGTATCCATATGTGTTGGCATCCATTGCTGCATACTTCAAGATTAGTTCAACACTTAAAGTTCAATCCACAATTAGATTGACACCTGTACAACTAGTGGCTCAGACCGATTCACTAGAGAAGTAGGTTTGTAAAGAGCAAATGTTGTTGACAAGCAGAAGCATTGCCTAGAAATTTTTTCGAAAGAAAAGTTTGGAGTCTTCTGTGTCAACTGTCAAGGAGGTACCTAGAGAATTCTTGGAGTAGAAATATGTTACCCTGAGTTGTAAACCTTCTTTCTTGATAGCGAATTGGTTTGCCTGGAGTCTGGACTACATCCAATGCTTTTTCCTTTCTAGACTTCTCCACATAAAAATCTGTTGCTTGTTGTTTATTATTTCATTGCTTTAAATTTTTGTAGTTTACATATGATTTTTACTGTCTGCTAGATTTTGAAGTTTAAATTTCTTTTAATTTAGAAATTAATTAAAATAGTTAAATCAGTTCTGTAAGATCTACTGACCCACCTCTAGGTCTAGATTATCAAGTCCTCTGATTACCCTACAACATAAATTCAGGTGACACTTAAAATGCCAAAGTACATACAAGTCACAACTGCCTTGAGCATCAAATATATGTATACAAATGTAATCTTACCAATTGCTGCAAGAATTAAATACCAATCAGTAAACCACGATACATATATTGATATACATACATGTGTGTGTAGAGAGAGAGGAGAAATGAGAATTTCTTTAGACAGATGATCAGTACCTTTTTAGAGTGACTGAAGATGTGAGACGCGTATGTCATGATTCCGAAATCAAAAACCAGAGTAACACTTTTCAGCGATCGAAATCTGGGGTTGTATTTGTAAAAGGAATTAGGGCTCCAAAGTGACCCAATCACGATCTGTACAGACTACAGGATCGTGTTCAGCCACACTATACTTCTTTTCTTACTTATATTATTCATCTCTCCTCTTCTCTAGGTGGAAGAGTGTTCGGGGTTCCCCTTTCTTTTTTTTATTAAATTTTTTTTAATAATAATAATAATAATAATAATTAAATAAATAAAACAAAACAAAACAAAACAAAATTCTAAATTGAAATGTTGAGAATATAAATGCACTTTTTCATATATGCCTTTTAAATTTTTTAACTTAGATAACATATAGTTAATTTAGTCATTTTAAAAAAGAATAATGTATTAATTATATGTTCTTTGATATTTTTCCAAAAAAATATTTTTATGAGAGAGAGGTAGCGTATATATAATCATAAGGTTTGAAAGGATTTTGTTTAGAGTAAAACATTTAAAAAAAAAAAAAAAGGGTTTTAGACATAAAATAGTGTTTCAAACAAATATTTTTTTGTATCTTTCGTATTGTATTGAGTAAATATTTGACTTGCCCATTCAATTTTGGTAAGTGATTTCACCCATGTTTATTTTTTGTGAAAGTATTTATATCCTAATAAAATACATTTTTATTATCATGTAAAAGTGTTACTTGATTCGTTGACTGAAAATGTAAGATTTTTTTTTTTTTTTGATTGAAGATGTTAATGTGGGGCCTGTTAGAGCTCCTCATATTCCAACATCACATGATTCATACACGTGCATCAAGCAGTTGTTAGAAGGAAAAAAAAATAAAAAATTGAAGGTGGTTCCAAGTGAATTTCCAAACTCCAAAGTGTGTAGTTTATTTTTAAAAATTCACGAATCACGAGGTGAAATTGTTCTCTTGCAAGCTCGATAAATGAAGTAAAGGAGGATTACTCGGCTTTCTTGTATCAAATAGAGGTCTAATTGTCATTGCTCACAAAGGCATGGACTTCAGGTCTGGGTATAAGCGGATTTATTACAATGAGTTGAGGATGTTCAGGCGGAATGGCCTCCATTGAGACTTTTCTGTATTTTCTTGACAAGAAATTGATGAACTCGTTTGTTTTACGGAACGTCTCCATTCACGGAAATATCTCCATCCACTTTAAAAGGCAACGGAGATACTAATGAGTTATAGGTTTCCATTATAATAAAACCTTGTTTCATGGTAATTTTAGTTTAATCTGCAATTATAGATTTTGAGAATAAAGGGGACAGTTTGGTATGGAATTAAGAGAAGGAGAAAAAAGTGAGAAAAGAGGGGAAAAGAAATCGGTTATTTTCCTTTGTTTGGAGCTGAAAAAACGAATATGAAAGAACATAAAAGAAAACAAGGGAAGTGAGATAGCAGAGTCAAGATAAATTCATATTCCGTTACTCTGATTGATTAAGATAAATGGAAGGAATTCTAAAAACCTCTTCTGCTGTTATATCAAAAACATTTATAATGAAGCTACCGATAAAAGGCGCGTATTGGCTGGCTCTTGAGAGTGTTTTGCCATAACTATGCTTCAAATAGGATGCTTTGAAACTTCTTTCCAAATCTATGTAATTCCATGCTTCACAGAAACACAATTCGCATATCCCAAAGAAATGCTAGGTAACCTGCATTCTGTTCCCATTCCATTTCATTCCACATTCTGTTCCCATTTCATTTTTCCCACGCAACCGTCCCTGGAGACTTAGTTCAACTTTCCCTGGAGACTTTGGAATTCAATCATGTGTAGTAGGAAATCATGAATATTGAGGGGTTTCAGTGTACTTTCACCTAAATTGTGCATCAGTATCATAAGAGTGGTGAAGGGAAAAAAGGGCCTACAGGATGGTATATAAAGTATCTGCATCCTCAAAGTAGATTAATAAACACATAAATTCATTGATTTAAGCCATACGATTAAACATCTCTGATAAACATTTAACAATTTCTCCACGGTTTTCCATTAGAATTAAATAAATAAAACATCTAGACATATACCTAAACTCATCATACAAACCCAAACTCATGTAGCTTAGGTTCTCACAACCCTTGCCAACCTCTGATATGCTTTGCAGCGCGACTATGAACTGAGATTTAAGAACAAGCATCAGATTTCCGTACCCTCTTTTTTCCCCCTTTTTTCAGTTTTTAATTAACAATTCTTTTACCATTGGGATACAGTTAATAAATTTAAAGTCTTGTATCATAGACCACGTCGATTTCTAATTTGTTAATTCTCTAGAGACTATCCAGATATTGGTAATCAACCCCTAATTAAGCAGCCTACATGGGCTTCAATTTAACAATGCTGGGTTTATGTGACTGCATGATTCTTACAGAGGGGGCTTTCACTATGTGCATGCTTCAAGCACACTGCCACAAATGACAAGAGCCGTTAGTTACTAGTGTAATGAGACTGATGCAACTTTGAAATTTCTAAGAAAATAAAGTAGGATCATTATAAAATGTATATAATGCTCCGATAAAAACAAAATCCAAGTTTTTTGAATGATTTTCAAACAGCTCTATTCACGAGATTTGTTGTGTATATGAAACTTTATCGATGCATAGTTAGAAGCAATAACTTTCAAGTATGTGATAAGCAAAATGTAGTTTACAAGAGGGCGAAGCACAATAAGAAATAAATTTTCGACTCAAAAAATGACATGTTAAAAGCTATGGGCCTGTTTGGAATGTGTTATGATATTTTTTTTTTTCTGATATTGGTCTTCAAATTTGGGCCCATATCATGTTTGGGACGACTGATATTGGTTTGGAATAGTTCATAACATATCTAATTTTTTTGGCACAAACCAATATCAGCAAATTGGTGATATTGTGTGTTTCAGTGCTGTTGCGGAATAACTAAAGCAAATTTATGAATTTCCCAAAACAATTTTTCGTTACCAAACATGGTTCCAATTTCTACCCAAAACACTCCTACAACAAAACGGTTGTTTTGGTATTGACCAAAAACATAATGCCTAAAACATATCGCATGCCAAACGGGCTCTACATGTCCAAATAAATAACAAATTCAAATTTAGATTATTTTCCTCATGCATTCATCTAAATCTCAGCCCCCTTCAAAGTTTCTACCATCTGAACTGACAAAAATCTATAATAATTGGTGTGTGTGTGTATATATATGGCAAAACCTAGGACAGACCCATTTAAGAGATTCACAGTGTATGTGAAACTATATCAGCACGTAGCTATAAGCAATATCAATGTGCTGAACAAAGTGTTGTCAACATGAGGGCTAAGAAACAGAATTTCCAGTCAAAATGACATCAAAGAACAAAAATTGATTCATTTCCCAGTACACTCATTTAAATCTTAGCCCTCCTCAAAGTTTTTGCCATCTTAACAAAATAAAAATCACTAGAATAAGTGATAGAATTATGTTCATATATGCACTAGAATTTTAGAGCAATCATATCAGCTGGAAGAAATAGTAATTTGCCAGAATGAATTCATAACTACTTGTCCGACCAAAAGAAATATATCATAACTACTGCATGGGGAATTGGTCAAGTATGGTGACCAGCAAATGAGATGTTAAACCAGCAGAAAACAGATAATGAAATAATTGTTTGAGATACAAAATTCTCTCAGTTCTAACAATACTGACAAGCTCAATATTAAATAACTGCCCACGAGACTCAGAGAAGTTCTCAAAATTTATCTTTAGAAGAAACAGTAAAATAAAAAATCTAACATAGATTGCCAATAACGTATAACAGGGTATCAGACTTTACCTTGAAACTAAACAATCAGCATACTTGACCTTTTTGCTTCTACTGGTGACAATAATTGGATTTCAGAGCTCAAACTATAAGAGCACAAGCCCAAGCTCTGATGGTCTCAAAACATGGTTTATCCGATAGTTGTAGAGATAATAGTGGAGTTTCCCATCACCTGGTCCAAATTTCAGTTCTTTCAAGAAAGATTCATTTTGCATAACATCTAATGCATTGAAGACATCATAATCATTCCGTTTTGCCACGATGAGAGCATCATTCATCAGCTGAAGCAATGGAGTCTTTGTAGAAACATTATAGTAAGAATAAGCAGCCTTCAAAGTCGAGTAATTCTGGTGGCCAAGGATAGATGAGGGAAGTGTGTAAAAACTGCAGTAATCGGTGATCTCATGAGTCTCAGGACTTTCAACCAGGTAACTGTCCACGACATTCTCCTTTGGAAGAAGCCAGTGCCGCACATCATCTTCATCAAAGTCAGGTGCAACGATAAACTGACCCAAGTAATTTTTAAGCAGACGTGTAACTGCAGGAACATCGTGGGGCTCCATCTTTCTAAACCCAGGAGTGACTGTTGAGTCTGGTAACTTGTACAGCTTTATTGTTCGGCTCATCGTCATCCTCGCACCAAGCCTTGAAAACCCTACATCTATAAGCTTCTTCGGATTTAAAGATCTATGCCAATATTGGCAGGTTGACATGGGTGTCGGAAGAATCACCCCAGCAGTATACGCTGCTTGCCAGATATTTTCCAAGTGAACCCTCCTAGTTACCTCTTTAATCATAACGGGGGCAAGTCTTTTTGATCTAAGCTTCTTATGAACACACAGGAAATTAATCTCTGCCATGATAACAACAGTACCCCGGACCCGGATTTTTGCAGGAACCCCAGTAATAAAAGCAACCAACTTTTTTGAACTTTTGACACACACTCCAATGTGCCAGCTCCTAAAATAACCCGGAGGGCGAAGTGCCCATTGAAGGAACTCCTTTGAATAGTTAAATCTGAACATGTTCTCATCATCCTCGACATAGTTGTTGGTAAGGAGGTTATAAACCTCTGTGCACATCTCTTCAGAATCCATGTCACAAGTAATCCATTCATAGAGATTCGGAAGATTATAAGGTTCTTGTTTGACTTCAGCCAAGGGTGTAGGAGGTTCAATTGGGCCTTCAGGCAAACTTGTGTCCCCAAGATCCTTGAACTGCCCAACAGGTTGAGTTTCCCAAAACTTGTGCTTCTTTGCTAGAGAAAGAGATTCTTGAACCTTTCGGGCTAGTTCATTAATTGTGATGTCACTCTCAGAAGCTAAATTCCCATTTTGTTTGACTTCAGCCAAGGGTGTAGGAGGTTCGATTGGGCCTTCAGGCAAACTCGTTCCCCCAATATCCTTGAACTGCCCAACAGGTTGAGTTTCCCAAAACTTGTGTGTCTTTGCTAGAGAAAGAGATTCTTGAACCTTTCGGGTTAGTTCATCAGTTGTGATGTCACTCTCAGAAGCTAAATTCCCACCAGGATTAGGGTTTTGGTTTTCAGCAGGAGAATCAGAGGTTGAATGGTTATCAACCATTTTGCAGTATTTTTAATGTTGTGGTCTGTAAGAAAATATGATTCAATCAAAACTAAGAACAGGTAAAACCATCTATATTCCTCCAACTCTAGTATAACTTCAGCTTGTTTGCTGAAGTAAACTCAGGGGAAAAAATACGTTCACACACATAAAATTTACACGTGTATGTATATAGTGTATTCGAATCTAAGATTTTTCTCCATCTACTCAGCTATATCTAATACAATCATCTGGCTACCACAATCATATATCAATCGGAAACCAAACAATATAACAGGAACGATTAAAGATTTTCTAATTGTTTATGTAAAGTACCTAAATTTTCCCTGACTTAATAATTACTACTATATACATATTCTAAAACTGCTTATATAGAATCAAACAACAAATTGCTAAGATCTAAAACAATGCGAAAATAGAACGTAGACATTAAGCAAAGAGAGACTGCAAGGTTTGAATTTTAATTTCACTGAAATTACCTGCGACCTAGATTCTCCGAAGCGATTACTCCGTGCTACCGTCCGAGGTCGGCTATAGAAATCTAGGGTTTGAGGACGTATTGGAAGAAGGTAAGCACATGAGAACTAGAGTCAGAGAGAGAGGGTTTTTATAGAGAGAAGAGGGGTGAACAATGAAGCATTGGAAAATACGAAGCTGTGGATGGTTTCATGGAATAGATGGTGGAAACAAAAGAAAGCGTGGACATTGCACGCGGGGAAGTGTAACGGGTCGGATGCAGCCCTACCCGGCTACCCGTCCTCCCTATTGAAAAAGGACTCTCTATCGAAAACCGGATGACAATTTCCTCCCACTCCTCGAGCTTTCGCCCGCTCTAATGGGGTAGATTTAGTAACCTCCTAAATGAGTTTAAGATAAGCATGATATAATAATTGAAAATTTGAAACAAGTTTGGGGCGGGGCGGATTTATTAATGCCCGTTTCATCCCCGCCCCAATTATATATGTACGTTTAAAAATTGTATAAATTCTCCCTGGTGAGTAGGAGTAGTATACTCACTTTTAATCCTGATATTAGAATCTAATCCTACCATAATTAATTAATCAAAATTTTCTTTTTATATTTTAGGAAACTTGCTTATTTTTTTATTGCCATTATATATTATTAATAGGAAAGGACAAAACTAAACACATTTTTTATAGAAATAAACTAAAACCAAATTGGTTAGGTTTTTCTTCTATATGCATACAAAAATTCCTTCCCTTCAACCATAGAAGGTTGAAACATATAAGGCAACTATATCTGGAAAAAAATAAAATAAAACCAATAGCGTTTGAAAAAATAAATCCATTCCCTTCATTACCCACCAAATCAAAAAAAAAAAAAAAAAAAAAAAAAAAAAAAAATTCTCAACAATTCACCGTGGCTAAAGAGAAATAAGTAAGTCCTATTTTTTTAATTTACTCCCATACTTCATCCATTCTAATGATAAATTATGTAATTAAAATTCTGGAAACACATTAACTCATGACAAGAGTCGTGAGCTCTAATTACTTAACTATTAGGATTGAAACTTTTTATATTTTTCAAACAAAATAAAATATGTGTGTGTATCAATTATATGATTAAATAAAGATAACTCTTAGCAATTGACATGAGAAGATTCTTGTTACACCATTACTAAATATAAAAAAACCCTCTATGAGTGTCCCCCATATGTGGATATGCAAATCAGTTTTGGAATAATGTTCACAACTTTTTTTGTACACACCTAGTGTAACGGGTGGGTGCTTACCCATTTACATAAAAGTTCGAATTATTGGGTAGTGCTGCATACCCACTCATTTATATCCAATCACTTTCCCATCCGATTCCGATGTGGGACAAATGACTCTTGTTACATTCTCCCTCACCCAAATTCGCAACACCCTCGTTGCAGCTCGGGCCACCCTGTCTACCCGGGATGCTCACCCGGACGCCTTCCGGGCCAGGTGCTTGGCGTGACACCGGATCAAAAATTAAGTCTGGCTCTGATACCAATTGTAACGGGTGGACACTTGCCCATTTACCTAAAAACTCAAATTATTGGATAGTGTTACATACATACCCATTTATATCCAATCACTTTCCCATCCGATTCTAATGTGGGACAAATGACCCTTGTTACACCTAATCAAATTTAATTCAAGACTTTTGAAATAATTTCTTTACGGTGGGTGGAAGATTTATTAGATTGGCAATAATTTTTTCCCTAACACCTGCTGCTGCTGTTGTTTTATTTATTTATTATTTTTTTGAGATGCCACTGTCTTTTATGTATGTTTGGTCGGGTCACTGCCTTCCTTCCATATTTCAACCTTATAAGGTTGAACGGATTAGAAATCGAATATATGCATATTTTTTCCTTTTGTATGTTTTGCGAATTCTGTGGCTGAATGTATGGGAAGGAATTTTTTATATGTTTTGGGAATTTCTTAATTAGTCTGGTATACGCAAGTTTGTTTGTTATTTTTTTTATTTTTTTTTTTTGTATATTTTGGAAGTAATGACAAACAATATAGAATAAAAGTCTAGCCAATTTGATTTTAATTTATTTCCATTAAAAACATGTTTAGTTTTGTCATTTCTGATATATAATGGTAATAAAAAAAGAAAAAGAAAAAGAAACAAGTTTTCTAAAATATAAAAAGAAAAAACTGATTAATTAATTATTGTAGGATTAGATTTTAAGTAGGGATGTCAATTTTTACGGCCCCGCCGGGCCCCGCCTCGTCCCGCCCCGTTAATAACGGATATGGGAACACTTGTTATACCGTTGGGGCGGATATGGATACAAATTTTGTACCCGTCGAGAGTCACGGGGCGGGTAAGGGTTCAATATACATATCCTAGGGGCCCCGCCCCGCCCCGCATATAACTATATTTAATATATATATATATATATATATATATATTAATAAGTTATTTTAGTGACTTACCCAATTACCCATCTCTTACAATTCTAATTTGGGATGTAAATTTGGTATTAAATTTGCTTTTGTTTTGGTTATGGTGGAAGTTGAAGCTTAGAACTTCTTGTGATTTGGTTGTATTAAATTTTTATTTTTGTTTATTATGTTCTTTGAATTATGTTATGTGCATGTTATTTTTTTTATTTTTATTAGGATACATAATTTTATTTATGTTGTGTCATTCCTAGGCTTTATACATTTAAATAGCAGGAGTTTAAGTTTCAAAAAGTGAGAGAAAAAAAGTTGTTAGTGGGGCGGGCACGGGGGCACAGTATTTCCTAACGGGGCGGGGTTGGATATGAAAATCCAACCCGTCGCGGGTATCGGGGCGGGCATGGACTTGACAAAAATTAAAATGGGCGGGGCGGGATTTAGGGAAACCCGCTCCAAACCCGCCCCGTTGCCATCCCTAATTTTAAGGTTAAGATTAAAAGTGACTATACTATTACATGATATATAAATATATCAAATATATATTTAATATTTTTAAAACCTTGTTATTTTGCTAGGAGTGTCCTTAATATATTAAATATTCATAATTTTAAAGTTTGGTTAACTTATTTATCCGTCCATTTTAGGTATATTGGGCTAATTTTATTTATTAAATAAAAATGGCATAACACACTTCGGCATCCAAATAAATGGATGCGGGCGAAATTTGTAACTATAAATTCGTCCCGGAGTAGGAGTGGAGTTAGTATGACAAATTTTTTAACGGGCAAACTAGAGTTTAACCAAATTGGGTTTAACCAAACTTGTCCCAACCCCGTCCCGTTGTCATTCTTATTTATGATTCCTTGTTATCTGGTTCAAAAGTAAATTATTAGGTAGTGTTGTATATTTTATTGCGTAGGGTCCAAACTTGTTGCCAAAGATAAAAAAATCTTGTAACTTCAGAAATTTTCATATTTTTTTAACAAAATCCAATCATTTTCCATAAGATTTTAATACAAAGAAAATTAATTAATAAAAAATGTAAAGTGATATTATTTTTCAACTTAATCTAATTTACCAAAAACTATAATATATTAGTATTTTCTCATTTTCAATTGAGAGGTTGTTCAAGTTTTTAAAGGACAAGTAAATGCCCTTTACTTTTCCATATAGAAGAAAGAGTTCAGTTTGGTTTAATAAAGTAGTGAGCCCATCTCTTCCTTATATTAAATTAACACATTTTTGGCCCACACAAAACCAACCATTCCAATAAAAAATTTCATTAAAAGATGAAGACTATGCAAGCCCTAGCTGAGAAAACAAATGCTCTATTATGACTGCCTCTTTTTAAAACCATGGCTTCAGCTGAATCACAAGAATAAAAATGATACTTTTTGTATGATAAAGTTGAACCATGTCATTTTCAGCATCTTCTACTTTTGTAAGTGCATTGAACTTGCACCGCTAACTCTATTAGTACCCAATCTTTTTTATTCTTAAGATGAAAACATGAGAGTTTAATATCTAATCTTTCAAGTGCTTGCTTAATCAGATAAAGACTAAATGTCCTTTTTGGACTGTGGGAATAGTTTGCGATGTCCACCAAGTTCATCAATACACAAATATAAACAAAAAAAGTTGTCCCCATCATGTCAAATCTTCAACAATTTTGTCAATACACAATTATAAACAAGAAATATTAGATGTAAACCCAATCCTCTTGGGTTAGCGCCAAAGAAATGTCAAAGCATTGTCCACTCTTTATCTATTTCTCCAAGGATGGAATCAGGATTGCAAGGGCGCTGATTTGGGACACGGGATGCCATCTCATCTTGATTTAGCATTGTTAAATTATTTATTAAATGGCGGTAGGGCAAATTTTGTAAAATACTTTTTCATTATATTATGAATCGAATGAAAAATAATAATAAAATAAATTTCTCAATTGTAACTTAAGATTTAATATTATTTTTTAAAAATAAAATAATATATATAATTTATCAAATAAGGAAAATATAAAAGAGTATTTAGTAATTGGACTATAATAAATTAAGATTTGCTTTATATATACCTAATGTTATTGAATATAAAAATAAAATATAAAGATAAAATTGTAATTTATCACTATAAACAAGTGGGATGGCCTTTTCCATCCCCACCTTATAACCATGGAGTTTTTTTAATCATAACTCTTATCCTGCTCCAAAATCATTTAACTATTTCTATAAACATTTTAAACGCGAGGTATTTTGCTATTCTTAGGTGGAAGTGTAATTAATTAAAAAAGGGAAAAATAAAAATAAAAAATTTTAACCAAACGTTCTTATGATGATATGCTTAATTGTTTCATAAAAAAATCACGCAATAAAGTATTAGACACATTGATTTAATTATGACCGCATAAATTAACCGTGTCATACAACTGTCCATGGCCGAAGCTAGAATTTTATTTTGTATGGGGCATAATGAACGTTGAAAAACAAAATTTTAAAAATTAAAATTATAATGCAGAGAATATTTAACATAACCTATTTTATTCAAAATAATATTAGAAGAATAGGAAAGTCATTTAGGGCAGAAATTTTAAGAACTAATGTTCTTTTTAGCTTCTTCTACAAATGTGCAAAGTAAGTACTAGTCCGCTCATCAAAAGTAACATTTATCAATTATTAATTTTTTTTTTTTTGTCCAAAAAAGTTAAAAGTTAAAATTTAAAACAAACTAATGGGTCAGGTGCATAGAACATTTTTATTGAATACTTCCTTACGTAT